CACAGCAGGGCCGGGCGGGGGCGACGGGGCCGGGCGGGCGCGACGGGGCCGGGCAGGTGCGACAGGGGCCGGGCAGCTGCGACAGGGGCAGGGCGGGCGCCACGGGGCCGAGAGGCCGCGACAGGGCCGAGCTGGGGCGACGGGGCCGAGCAGGGGCGACGGGGCCGAGCAGGGGCGACGGGGCCCAGGAGGGTGGATACGGGGCCCAGGGAGGAGCGCGGCAGGGCCCAGGAGGGGCGCAACAGGCCTAGGAGGGGCGCTACGGGCCCAGGAGGGGCGCAATGGGGGCCCAGGAGGGGCGCGGCGGGGCCCAGGAGGGGCGCAATGGGGGCCCAGGAGGGGCGCTACGGGCCCAGGAGGGGCACTACGGGCCTAGGAGGGGCGCGACGGGGCCTGGGAGGGGCACGACGGGGCCCAGGAGGGGCGCTACAGGGCCCAGGGAGGGCGCGACGGGTCCCAGTAGGGGCGCTACGGAGCCCAGGAGGGGCGCGACGGGGCCTGGGAGGGGCGTTACGAAGCCCAGGAGGGGCGCTACGAAGCCCAGGAGGGGCGCGACGAGGCCCAGGAGGGGCGCTACGGGGCGCTACGGGGCCTGTGAGGAGCGCGACGGGGCCCAGGAGGGGCGCTAAGGGGCGCGACGGGGCCCTGGAGGGGCGCTACGGGGCCCAGGAGGGGCGCGAAGGGGCGCGACGGGGCCCTGGAGGGGCGCTACGGGGCCCAGGAGGGGCGCTAGGGGGCGCGACGGGGCCCTGGAGGGGCGCTACAGAGCCCTGGAGGGGCGCGACGGGGGCCTGGAGGGGCGTTACGAAGCCCTGGAAGGGGGGCGCGACGGGGCCTGGAGGGGCGCTACGAGGCCCTGGAAGGGGCGCGACGGGGCTAGGGGGAGGGGTCGCGACTGGGCTCAGGAGGGGCGAGGCGAGGCTAGGAGACGCGACGGGAGGAGCGGAAGCGGTAGGTGGGGGGGGGGGGGGGGGGGGGGGTCGAAACCTACTCGTGATACCATATCAAACCTAGAATTTAATAATGTGAGAGAGAGAGTACACAAACATATACCTAAATGTTGTACTCTCTAGAAGGTGACCCTATACAGTCTATACGAACATGATAACTACACATGTTTGACAGAGCAGCCCCACGCTGCCCAGCAGGCTAGCAGCCTCGTGCAACAGAGGAAGAGCACCCCGTGCAGTCACAGTCGTGAAGGGCACAGGAGAGGTGGCCTGAGAGGGGTGATGGAAGGGTGAATGGTGGTAGGGTAAGACATGGAGGCGGAGGAGGAGGTGCGGCAAGAATCAGTGGGCGACATGACAGGGTCTTGTGTGTCGGAGGATGAAGTTGCATTTGTGGAGGGCACGGGCGAGCTGGCCTGAAAGGGGTGATAGAAGGGTGAATGACGGGGCAAGAAAGCGTGGGGGGAGAGAGAGAGGGGGGGGGGGTGGTTGGGGGGGTTTCGTCAATAATCAGTGGTTGACGTGAAGGGGTCTCGTGTGTCGGAGGATGAAGTCGCAACTGTGGAGGGCATGGGTGGGATAGCTCTATTGGGCTAATCGTGGACAGGACAGCTGGTGATGGAAAAGGGCTAACGTCACCCACGTAGCTCTATTGGGCTAATCGTGGACAGGACAGCTGTGAAACTGTAGTGAGGGCCAACGTCACCCACCCGCATTCCATTTCTACTTTCTGTAGTTCAATTTCCCCACCTACCCACCATATCGTGTGTATAGTTTTTTTGTTGGACGAGGAGAACCAATGTTCGTACCCATACGAAATGACGCACGCTGCCTACAAGAGGATTAAAGCAGTATTTCATGATCAAGCATTTTAAGAAGACAAAGGAGAAACGTCCAAAGCCCCCTTCAACCCTCCCCCCCCCCCACCAACACACGTTTCATGGCCATACGGTTTCACGCAATCCAAACCTCTCGGTGAGACGGCGGGTGGTACCGGTGTTTGCGGGGCTCCGGGGGTGTTCCTTCTGGGGGTGCTGGAGTGGAGTGTTCCGGAGGCAGCCGTGGAGCAGCTTGCTGTCCCGGTGTCGGTGTCATGCCGCCGCAACAGCAGTCACCGCCGGTGTCAGCCCTTCGCCTGCTCGGCCTCCCGTCCCCTGACCGCGTGTCTGTGCCTCCCCTGCCGTCTCCTCCCCTTCCTGTCTACGGCCATGTGTTCCCTCCCCCGGACTCGTCTCCGGCTCGTCTTCCCCCTCGTTCCCCTCCTGTGTTCCCTCCTTTGTCTCATGACCCGACTCCTCCGTCTCACGTCTGGTCTCGCCGTCCCTCCCGTGCTCGCCCCGTTTCCCCTGTCCCGCGCTCTCACCCTATGTTGCTTCGTTCCCACGCGTCTCGTCCTCCCCTCCTACCGTCGCCTCCTACCGTCGCCTCCTCCGTCCTCCCTTATTGTTGCGCCTCCCCCTCTGTGTGACTACCTTCGCGCCGCTCGTCCCCTTGTTCCTCGGGTCCTTGCCTCTCTCGTTACCGACCCGTCTGTTCCGGTCTCGTGTCTTGACGCTCTTGTCGTTGCGGTCGCTGACTTCGCCTCTACCCGCCGCCTTGACTACGCCACCGCTCTGGTCTCTGACCATGCCTGTCCTCCGTCTGTCGGGGGTGCTCCTGCCCTCGGCAGTGACGTCCTGGAGGACCGCCAGTACGAGCTTGCTTTCCTGTCCGAGGCTGCTCCCCATCTCTGCTCTATGCTTCTAGTCCCTGAGGGTGAACCCGACGCTTTCGACATCCCGACCCCTCGCACTTACTCTGAAGCGGTCTCGGGAACCTGGGCCCCTTATTGGATAGCTGCCATGGAGCAGGAGATGGCATCTTGGAGATCCACCGGCACCTACGTCGATGCAGTTCTTCCACCTGGGGTGAACGTGGTTGACGGCCGCTGGCTCTTCAAGTTGAAGCACTCTTCTTGAGAGTCGCCTGTGTTCAAGACGCGCTACGTGGCTAGAGGCTTTAGTCGGCGTGAGGGGGTGGACTTCTTTCAGACTTTCACCCCGACCCCGAAGATGACTACTCTTCGGGCACTGCTACACGTAGCAGTACAGCGTAACTACGAGTTAGACTCTCTCGACTTCTCCACTGATTTTCTTCAGGGCAGTCTACACGAGCAGGTCTACCTGCGCCGCCCTCAGGGTTTCACTGGTACCTTCCCTTCTGGGACCCAGTGGCTCCTGCGGCGCCCAGTCTACGGCTTTCATCAGACTCCCCGCGAGTGGCACGATGCGCTGCGTGCTACTCTTGCAGACCTGCAGTTCTTGCCGTCTTCCGCAGACCCCTCGCTCTTTGTTCGTTCTGGCCAGACTCCGTTCTACATCCTTGTTTACGTAGACGATCTGGTCTTTGCCACTGCAGACACCACCGCACTGGCCTTTGTGAAGGCTGGGCTGCTGAGGAGACACACCTGCACTGACAGAGGAGAGCTGCGCCACTACCTGGGCCTGCAGATCTCCAGAGACAGAGCAGCGCGCACCATCACTCTCACCCAGTCACACTTGGTGCACCAGGTCCTTCAGAGGTTCGGTCTTCAGTTCTCCTCCGCACAACCCATTCCCAGCAGCCACAACGACTCCAGCAGGGCCCACAAGGCCTTGGAGATGGCGACGGCGACAGTCCCGGCCGCGGCGACAGCGACGGCGACGACGGGCGTGCGGCGGCAAAATGGCTTGCGGCGACGGCAGCGGTGACGGCGACGACTTCGGCTTACGACGGCGGTGAGTGCAGCGGCCCCCGCCCTTCCGGCGGCGTGTCCAACCTCCGCGACAGGGGGACGACCGGCGAGAGTCTGCAGCGGCTGTGGCGAAGAGGATGGGACAGAGGAAAGGGGGAAAGGGGCGGGGCTTCGTATCTTCAGTGCAGCGCCACAGGCGTCGCGCGGCCGGCTAGCGTGCGGGCGGACAGTTTAGCGTCGCCACAGGCGTCGCGCGGCCGGCTGCAGCCCGGCGGCACCATCACAGAGCAGCGTCGATGCCGCAGCGGGACGTCGTCGACGGCGCGACAGCAGAACGAGCGGCGTCGATGCCGCAGCGGGACGTCGTCGACGTCGCGACGGCAGAACGACGGCCCGACTCCACGGCAGCGCGTCGAGTCGGCCGCGGCATGACGCGGCCAGCGGCATCGCGACGCCGCCACTGCAGCAAAGCGCGGCCGCCATGGCCGCGCGAGTGAAGGAGGGTGAGGAGTACGCGGCGGAAGCGTGAGGAGGCGGTCCAGCAGGGAGGACCTCCTGCTCTGATACCATATCAAAGAAGCTTAGGACATTAACTAAACTTAGGAACCTAGCTTAGCTAGGAAGCAAGGAAGGACGCCATGGAATGGCGTGAGGCAAGTAGATCTAGGAGTAGGCTGAGAATGGCGAGAAAGAAGGGGGTTGGACTAGGAAGAGAGAGGTATACAAGGAGGGGTTTGTACCCTCTACAGTAAGGTTCGGTAACCTACCAAGCCTAACAATTATACAACTCAATATATAATTTGAACATAAAGATCAAGTCATGTACCAAGTTCAAGAGCAAATTAAACGGCCCTCTTCATTGCTGTTATAGCCACGGGCTTTAAGGGCAGAGCAAAGCATATCCAGCTGCGGTACTTCCTCCTGCGCGAGCTGCAGCAGGGTCGCCAGGCTCGCGTAGTACACTTGGTTTCCGGTGCCAACACAGCTGATATCTTTACAAAGGCCCTTGCGCCTAAAGATCATCAGCGGCATTGTGTACAGCTAGGCCTTGTTCCTGTTACCTCTCACCTGCTAGGGCCTTGATTATGTACTGACCTTTATATATTTTATTCTTGACTGGCCTTGTGGTCTCTGCCAGTGGCCGGACTAGTAGTGCCGCCCTGGTCTTGCCCTTGCACTGGTCTGTACTCGTTTGACTGGTCTTTGGACCCTTGACTCAGAGGTTGGACTAGTAGTGCCGCCCTGAGTTGCCGTTTCTCTCATCAAGAACTGCACCTGTGCAGTCTAGGGGGTGTGTCAAACATATAAATAGGTTATGTTTGTATAGACTGTATAGGTTCATATCTTAGAGGGTTCAACACTTAGGCTTATACCCTTGTCCTGTTTTCTCTCAACATTCTATCCTACATTAAGAGAATGGACCACACCACACCTACACACCCATCTGCATCTGATAGACGAAAAGAAAACGCCCTTTAACCTCCCCCACGTTTGCCAGTGCGAGCTGGCCCTAACGATTGCAATTAATTTAACATTCCTTGAAATACTGTAGATTGAGCCTTCTTGCCCATCTCCTTGCAGGGGGCTGGCTTATAAAGAATGGTCTAGTGCCTTCCCCCTGCATGGCAGTGTGAGCGGGCCTTATGCGATCTCAATCGGTCCAACACTTTCCCATGGAATTCTGTAGAGCGAGCCTTCGTGCGCATCTGCAAGAGTGATTTCCAACGGCTGCTCTAATCTAGTGCCTCCCCCCTGCATGGCGATGTGAGCGGGCCTTATGCGATTTCAGTCAGTCCAACACCTTCCCTTGGAATGCCGTGGACCGAGCCTTTGTGCCCATCTCCTTGCAGGGGGGACAGCTTATAACAAAAGCTCTAGTGCTTCCCCTCTGCATGGCGATGTGAGCGGGCCTTGTGCGATTTCAGCCGGTCCAACACCTTCCCGTGGAATGCTGTAGACCGAGCCTTGGTGCCCATCTGCTCACAGCGGCGGAACAAGAATAGCAGGGGGCGAAGGGGAGAGGGAAGAAATTCAGTTTTGCTTTTGAGTCAACTAAAAAACAACACCTTCCCATGGAATGCTGTAGACCGAGCCTTGGTGCCCATCTGCTTGCAGGGGAAGGGGCAGGGGCAGGGGCGGTAGGGAGCAAAGGGGAGTTGGAGATGTTGCTTATAGCTGGTGGTGTACGGGGCTGTAGGTTGACCAACAAAAAGATGAAGCATCTTTCAACAGGATTAACACGGCGAGGAGAAAACACAAGGGATTCGGATTTGCAACTCATGTAGAAAGGGAATTTTTTTTTTTTGAAGTGCTGTTACAGGAATTATGGGGTTTCGGGATATGGGATTACGCTGACAGCGGCCCATACATGTGTGACAAGCGTGTAGAGTGCCAAAGTGCTGAGGCTGACGAGGAGGAGGGTAAGAAGGCAGTTTGACAGACCGACAGGAAACATTTGTTTCCAACGTACGTGTGTGACAAGGGGTATAACGGCAGGGTGACAAGGCAGAGGATGAGAGAGGTGAGAGGGCTGCAAAAAGCAAGAAGCAGTGAGAAGCGAAGCCGGACCTAACGTACATGTGTGACAAGCGCGTAGAGAGGCAGAGTGCTGAGGCTGACGAGGAGGAGGGTGAGAAGGCCGATGACAAACTTGAGCCAGGGGACCCACGAGGAGTAGGACTTGCACTCCTTGAGGTTGATCGCCAGGTACTGGGGGGGTTGGAAAGAGGGGTTTCGGGCGGGAGGGGGTTGGGACAGGAAGGGTTCAGAGGGGAGAACCAGTGCAGGAGGAGGAGAAGGCCGATGACAAACTTGAGCCATGGGGCCCAGGGGGAATAGGACTTGCACTCCTTGAGGTTATCGCCAGGTACTGGAGGGGTTGGCAAGGGAGAGCCTGGCCCCCCTGGTGCTGCGTGAATTAGAGGTTCTTCCCCTTCTGCACTCTACTCTTTAGAAACTACGGGATTGTGTTGGATTGTATCCCCTTATGCTAGTGTCCATTTAGCCATGTTGGGTGTACACATTGTGTTTGGTGTGTCAATCCAACCCAATTGTGGTTGGAGACTCCGAGCACCATTAGCAGGTGACCAATTGTGTTCGGTCAACCATCAATCCCTACCGACACCAATGAGCCTCCCGAACAGGTTTCCTTCAACAAGTGTTTGGGTAGCCCAGCTGCCATTGGGGTTTCCCAACCCCTAGTGCTCCAGTTTCCCCTTCCCTCTTTAGTTCACTTGCTTCCTATGTTTGCCCTTTCTTCCACTGCTTTCAATTTCTCTGAGAGGAAGGAGAGAATGCACTGTAGTGCAGTGCCATATTGCAACAATATCATGGTGAAGAGAATGCGAGGTGGAATTAAAAAACAGTATATATATATATATATATTATGTATGAATCATAACTTACAAAGTAGGTGAAGACGTTGCCGACCATATAGGAGCTCTGCATGATTCGGAAAAAGGAATCAGGAGAGGGAGGTTTTCAGGTTTAACGAATTTGGAGCAGGAGGTTTTAGAGATTTGGAACCTGCAACGTTCATATTTGTGAAAGCATCTGCCATGACCCCACAAACAGTGCGTTCGGACAGGAAAAAAATGGAACGGCTAATGATACAAACAAGGCAGGGAAGAGCACGATGTGAAACTTGAAGAGAATGCACACTAGGAAAAAGAGGTTATTTCTGAAAGAGCGACTCACAACAAAGAGCGCGAAGTGCAGGAGGTACAGCATGAAGGAGGGGCGCTTGAACCAAAAGAGCGAGCCACGGGGCTTTAAGTGGTCGTCTTTTGAGGCGCCTCAGAAATCGTCTGAAAGAGCGACTCACAACGAAGAGCGCGAAGTGCAGGAGGTGCAGCATGAAGGAGGGGCGCTTGAACCAAAAGAGCGAGCCATGGGGCTTTAAGTGGTCGCCCTCGCAGTCCCCCTTCACATGCGCACTCTCCAGCGCCAGCACCGACACTATGTACTCCAGTTTTGTGCCGACCGCCAGGGCGACCTGTATCAATATTGGAGTGTGAGAATGGCGGGACTGTGAGAATGCAGAGATTGTGAAAATGCAAAGATTGTGAATGCAAGGATTGTGAGAATGCAAAGGTTGTGAATGCAAAGATTGTAAGAAAGCAAAGACTGTGAGAATGCCAGGAGAATACGAATGCAAGGAATGAGAATGCAATGCAACCACTTACCAGGAACCCAACAATCGCGAGTATGAAGGAAATATCCCACTCTGTGCAGGTGAGACGAGGCGAGGGGAGGATAGGAGAGGAGAGAAGAGGAGAGGAGAGGAGAGGAGAGAAGAGGAGAGGAGAGGAGAGAAGAGGAAATAACAGAGAAAATACGAGAAGTGGGTGGGACATAAGGGAGGGTTAGAAAGAAGATGGGAGGGTAAGAGCTAGGAGGTTGAGAGGGGAGTAAGCGATAAGCTGGGACAGTCGCTTGACAAGCAGATCAGAAGCATCTGACAGCCAAGAACTGAATGCGATATTATGATAAGGAGGTTTTCAGCACGCGAAAGGTAACACAGTGATGATTCCATGAAGGTGCAGTGCTTACTGTAGCTTGAAATGCAGATAATGATTACTAACAAGACCCAAAGAAACCAGCTGCAGACAGAAAAGGACGAGAGGAAGAAAGAAGCGGAGGGTCGGGAGGGTGAGAGGAAGCGGGAGATAATTACTTAGGGTTACAACGACCATTTGGGTTAAAACGACCATTTGTGTTAAAAGGCATCTCAAGAGATGGATACGGTTGGAGATAAATTGCGTGCAAGTAATCAGACCACTACGGATGTGGGAAAACCATTCAACCTTTAATAAGTGTGAGAACTATTCAACCTCGAATATATAAAGTGGGGGGAAATAGACTTCTGATAAAAGGGGCGAATTATTCAAAAGCTGGAAATGAATCAACCACGGGTTTTTTTCTGTTCCATATAATTTCCTCAAAATTTATATTTGTCGAGTCATTGCTCCAAGCACTCACTTGACCCCCACAGTGTGCACCTAATCTTTCTCCGGCGAACCAATAACATGTAAGAGGAAGGCGGAAGTCCTGAGTTGACTCCAACTAGCCAACACCCCCCCCTACATACTCCCCAACTCAACCGCCTTCCCCCACCCCCCTTCCCCACTCTAAATCCCCGCTTCCAAGCACTCACTTGACCCCCACGATGTGCACATAATCTTTCTCCAGCGAGCCAATAACATACGAGAGGAAGTCAAAGTCCCGTGGTAGGGCTTGGTTCTGGTGAGGGCCAAGTGGAGAGAGGGAAGGGGAGGGAGAGAAAAGAACGGGAAGAGGGGGAAAGATGAGGCGCCAAAATGTGCGAGGTACGTTCTTTAAGACACACTGGCCTGCATTATGAGTGGGGTGGGGAGAGTGGTTTAGTTTTGTAACATCTTGAAACTAAGACTACTCGTACCGGCCGGCAATATGAGCGGGGAGATATGAGCGGGGAGGGAGAGTGGGGATGGACGAGCTGACATGACGGTCAGTGGCTGACTCAATGAGATACCAATGAAGGACTTGCATTCTCCATAGTAGTTTCTCGACACCGAAACAACATGGTCTAAAGGTTTGAAAGAGACTGATGAGACTTTTGAGTCGACTCGGAATTCACCTCGACATGGTATCAGGGGTTGAGAGGGGCTGACATGGACAAAGGCCAGGCGGAGCGGAGGGATCAGCTGGTTTTTTAGAATCCTCAAAAACCAGCTGAGCCCAGTAGGACATGGACGAAGGTGACATGGTATGAGGGGGGTTGAGAGAGAGTCTGACATGGACGAAGGCGACATGGTATGAGGGGGGTTGAGAGAGAGTCTGACATGGACGAAGGTGACATGGTATGAGGGGGGTTGAGAGAGAGTCTGACATGGACGAAGGTGACATGGTATGAGGAGTTGAGAGAGAGTCTGACATGGACGAAGGCGAGGCGGAGAGTGGAGTAGTCAGAGCGGGTGACAGGGTCGAACAGCTGCTGCCAGAAACAGCGCTGGTTGAGGGTTGGGGGGAAGAGGCATGAAAGAGGACAAGACAAACAAGGGAAGTCAAGGGGGGGGGGTCAGTGCATTTTGAGTGGAGTAGTCGGAGTGAGTGACAGGGTCCAACAGCTGCTGCCGGAAACAGCGCTGAAGGGGAAAATACAAGAAAGAGGAGAAGACAAACAAGACGAGAAAGAGAAGGAAACGTGACTGTGAGTGCCCTGCTCACTTCCTCTGCATTCCCAACACTCTCAGCCTGCACTCACTCACACACAAACACACTCGCACACTCATGCACGCACATGCAAGCACACACACATACCAGTGTGAGCACAAAGGTCCGCCACACCGTGAGTGACTTGCCCACTTCCCTCCAAGCAATCCTCAGCGTCCTCGTGCTCTCATCAGTCTCTGTCCACCCCACTTCCTCCGATCCTCCTCCTCCTCCTCCTCCTCCCCCTCCTCCCCTTTCTCCCACAGACTCCCCAATCTGCGACAGCAGATCCCCCTCTTCCTCGTCATCCGTCCACGTGTAATCCTCCTGCTCCTCTGTTATCTCAAACGCAGCAGGGTCCAGCCTGAAGCCAGCACCAAGGACAAACGCCGCCTGGCCCACCCCCGCTGCTGCTGCCCCTGCCGCTTCCCCTGCTTCCCCCCCTGCTGCCCCCCCCCCAGCTGCTGCTCCTTCTCCTGCTGTTGTCCCTGGGAGGGGTCTCCAGGCACCCCCTACCCATCCCCACCCAACTTCCGGAGCCCCTAGCCCTGCAGCTCCTGGTGCAACTGCTATTCCTACCCCACCGAACCCTCCTCCCATGCCTCCCACCCCTCCCACTCCTACCCCTGCTCCTGCCATTCCTCCTGCTCCTCCCCCTCCTCCCCCTCCTCCCCCTCCTCCCCCTCCTCCTCCTCTCCTTCCTCCTCTCCCCCCTCCTCCTCCTCCTCCTCCCCTATTCCCCACGCCTGAGTAAACTGCAGCGAGCGCGCCCGTCGCGTCGGCACGGGCATGTGCCAGCTCAGCAGCGGTAACCTTCCCCGTGTGGCGTTCCACGAAGGACTTCTGGTTCAAGGCCTCCCGCAGCTGGCCTGGTGGGTGGGAGGGGGGGTGTACGATGAGTCGACTCAGAATTCACCTCATCTCAACTCAGCTCAGCAGCGGTAACCTTCCCCGTGTGGCGTTCCACGAAGGACTTCTAGTTCAAGGCCTCCCGCAGTTGGCCTGGTGGGTGGGAGGGGGGATGTACGATGAGTCGACTCAGAATTCACCTCTGCTCAACTCAGCTCAGCAGCGGTAACCTTCCCCGTGTGGCGTTCCATGAAGGACTTCTGGTTCAAGGCCTCCCGCAGTTGGCCTGGTGGGTGGGAGAGGAGAGACGGAAACCTTTTGAGTCAACACAAAATACAGCCTCTCCCGTGTGGCGTTCCACGAAGGACTTTTCGTTCAGGGCATCCCGCAGTTGGCCTGGTTGGCGGGAGGGGAGAACGGAGAAAGATGAAGGGCGAAGGATCTTACTTGAATGTAAGGGTGTGCCTTTTGAGTTGACTCAGCAGAAGTGACTTCACCTCAGCTCACCAGAAGTTCCGTTCCCCATGTGGTGCTCCGGACCGGAACGGACCTTTTTCGATCAGAGCCTCCCCCAGTTGGCCTGGTGGGTGGGAAAGAAAAACAAAAAAACGTGTAGGAGGAAGGATCGGCTACAAGCGTTTCAATGTCTAAAAGCCCAACCAATGCCAGCTCATCTCCTCCTGACACATCAATGCGTCCGATTCAAGTTCAACTCGTACCTGAAATGGACACCTTGCGTTTCTCCACCAGTGAAATACGTTGACTGCAGGTCAGCTCGAAACTGGTACCGGGTCAGCTTATACGGGGTCAGCAGCATCGGGTCAGCTCGTGAGCGGTTCAGCTCGTAACTGGTTCAGGTCGTACCTGGAATGGACTGCTTGCATTTCTTCACCGACTCCTGACACTTGACCTCCCACTTGTGCCACATGGAAACCTGAGAAAGTCAAAAAGTTGAACCAGAAACGGCGGTCAGGTGAGTACTTTTGGCAGACAGGGCGTGGAACCATATTATGATTTCTATTCTGGAGGTCATTCAGAGCATGAGGGAGTGGGGGATTCATTGCCCGCGTGCGGGAGATGACGATGGCGATGCAGGTGTTCATGATGTGGCCAAACAGACTGAAGATCTATACAAAAGAATATGATTGCATTATTGCATGTGCTCAGAGAATGGAGCAGTGGGAGATTCTTACCCGCGCGCGGGAAATGATGATGGTTACGCAGGTGTATATGATGTGGCCGAACAGAATGAAAAAAATCAACAGATGCAGCTGGTGGATGGCGTATGGCGACATGAACGGCTCCTTGCCCTGCAAAAATTGGTGAAAACAGTGCAGACAAGCATATAATGAAATTGAACAAATAGTGAAAACAAACAAAGGAAAATACACCAGCGTTCTTCAGCGACGGAAACGGGCTAAATATGAAGTTGTTAGTTCCAACAAGGGACCTAAAAAGCGTTCGCAATGCGGAGCGCGATAGGGACTCACACACCTGAGCGGCGCAGGTGCCATCGTCCTTCGTCGCATTCGATTTCGCCAAGCGTCGCCTCCGCCAGCCCGATTCGTAGATTAATCTGCGGGACCAGAATCCCTGACCTCCATTCGTATCCTCCTCTTCATCGTCCAACTGAAGTAGCCTCTGAGCGGACCGTCGCCGGTTTGCCATCCGTGTACTATACTCCATAGCAAATGCCCGTGGCTCTTCATCCTGCTGCTTGTAATCGGACTCTCGAAGCAACCTAGATTGTTTGTGGGAAGAATGTTCGGAGGTGGTAGTATCAGTGGAGTCGTCGTTATTCCCTACAATATTCGAGTCAGTGGATGGAGGGGAATCGGAAGAGCTCGAGAAAATCGAGCCGTTGTGGAACCTGATTTCTTTCTCAACTTTTACGCTCTCCGTCTTGTTCGCAAACACTGTCGTAAATTCCCGCGTAACCGCGGTCGTTCCGTTCGCAAAAGTTTCGGTCTTTTCGCGAAGAGTGATGAAACTCCCATCAGGGTTACTCTCCCACAATTTCTTGCTCCACGTTACAGCTGGAACTTGGCTGATCGCCTCTCCCCCATCTCCCTGGCCGCCGCTTTCTGCGCCTCCCTCTCCCTCTATTCCCCCACTTCCCCCGTCAGTTCCGCTCCCCCCGCTGCTATCCGGTGCTGCCCCCGGGCCGTTTTCCGGCAGATCGACACGTACTGGGCTCCCGCCAAGATCGTGCTGATCGTCGTAGTTCGACGTCGAATTGTAACCCGAATTGTAACCCGAATTGTAATCCGGATTGTAGCTTGAATTTTTGTAGTCCTCGGGCGGCTTGCAGGGAATGAGGATGGTGTCCCGCGAGATGTTGACGCACCATGCGGAGAGCACCGGGTAGAGCAGTGCGAGGATGATGGACAGGAATCCCGCAATCATCAGCTCTGCGGACGGGAGAAAGCGGCGGAAAAATATACTGTATATGACAAGGGAGCGTGACAGACGAAGGGAAGGGGGGAGGAAAAGCTCAGGCGGAGAGCGCTGGGTAGAGCAGCGCGAGGATGATGGACAGGAATCCCGCGATCATCAGCTCTGCAGACAATTTTGGGACGGACGAGAGAAAGCGGCGGAAAAGCATATATGACACGGGAGTGTGACACTCGAAGGGAAAGGGGGGGAGCAAAGGCCCATGCGGAGAGCGCCGGTTAGAGCAGCGCGAGAAGGATGGATAGGAATCCCGCGATCATCACTGATGACAGCTCTACGGACGGGATAAAGCAGCGGAAAAAGCAGCGAAAGAGCACGCATGATGAATAGCGGAAGATGAGGGGTTGAGGAGTGACGCTGGACGCATGGATGATGCTGAAGCAAAAAGGAAGATGGAATAATACACGGAGGCATAGACGACTCGGAGGTCGGACCAGACTCTGCGTGTCCTTCAACTAAAAGCCGACTACTGCCGGGGGAGGGCGCATCACGAAACACGAGGCGGGAGCGTAGGAATCGCCGCGACAATGAAAGACTCACCGTCTTTAATCCGGTCGACCACGTTCACGAGCGCCTTATTTCGCTTGTGACTGAACCTCTGCCGGAATCAAGGAGAAGAAAGGTGAAGTTTAATCATATAAAATTATCCCACGGCGAGGGTCGAAACATGTGCGCAGCACGACAACGGGAGTTTCTACGGAAGTTTCACCAGGTAGGCGAGAGAAACATTTAGTACCGCAACGCGAAATACCGATGCTGCAGTATCAAGGGGTTTCTTGCCGTACGGCCAGAATTATCGAAGGAAATGTAAATCTCGTTGTTGGAAACAACGGGAACTTACGTGGTGGATCACATGGATTATCTTCTCAAATATGAGGGACACTATAACGAGGACGGCCGCTACAGCCGCGATGAGGTAGCTCGGCGAGTAGACCATATAATAGTCGATCGAATTCTTAAGCTTAGACTCCTCTTCCTTGGCCTGCAGCACTCGACGAAGCACCGCGGACGCCACATGCGCCGCGCCTTGCGCTAAGTGCGCCATCTCGCGTAGGAATGAGGACGGACCGACGTGCTGTCCTAAAAGATTACTATCGCTCAGTGCTCTTAACGGAGTTTAGCACGGAAGTTAGAGGTTAAAGCCGGTGCGGCTTCTCCTCCTCGGAGTACAACGCCGATGATTCTGCTCAGCAGGCCTGCTTTCTATCCGTAAAACCTCGTAAGTCCGACTAGTAGTACAACCTTGGCAGTGGCTGTAAGGAAGTGCGACAGCGCTGTAAACTTTCTTATTTCGATTTCCAGCACTGCGCCCAGTTTTGCGTACACAAATAATTGCAACGAACAGGCGCTGATAACGACGGTTGCCGCTAAGCTGGCTCGTGGACGGAATAAGACGGCACGCTCTGCCGCACTACCGTCACAACAATCACGCGATTTCCGATACGCGCAAATGCACCTGCGGTCGATAATAATGCATGAGCAAGCAGCAGCAGCAGGGGGCTGGGCAGTGGGGGCGTAAGGGCGGGTCCCAATAGTTCGCGTTCTCTTCATTTCGTGAAAAGTAACCCGATTTTAACAAGCGACACCTTGTTTAAGGTTTCGCCAGGATACGTCTGAAATATTGACGTAACCTGGGACACCCTTCACATGCGTCGGGCCATGTACCAAATTTCGGATTGCAAACGTAAAAAAGCCGGAAGGTGCAAGATTCGGGGACGGGGTTCCAAGTGTGTCGCGCCTGGTTATCGCCCCGCTGGCGATGGCGACAACCGGGCGACGTCGCGAATACATCTGCGCGCGCGACGCCATTCCGCATCCGCAACCGAACGCGGCACTAGTTGGACCACTCTGCGCCGACAAAATGGGGTGAGTTTCTGGTTTCCCCACCCCCACCCGCCCAAGAAGCCCCAGAAAACAAGAGGCCCCGCCGAGAGGTCCGTCGAGAAGGCGTGAAAAAAATAAAAACATACACACACAAAAGCATCCCGCGCTCAAATGTGCCCTCTCGTTTCGCTCTGGCACAACGCGAATAGCACGGAATGGGGGGGGGCTTTGCTTCCCGGATTGTTGACTGCCTCCGATGTTTTGTCGCGCTCGCAAGTGCCTACGCGAGGAAAGATTCCCCCGCTTGTTGATTGGCCCCCCTGGCTCGCCGCTGCCAATGTTTGCAAAAGCGGGATGGGTTTCCCTGCCTGCTGTCTTTTGCGCGGTTTGCGAAACTTATGTTTCGCGCATGCTTACATTTGGTAACTGCGTTTGGGGCTGTTGCGCGCAACTCGGTTTTTTCACATGTGGACAATTGGCGTCCCGCTTGTGCGCCACGTGCGCACAGGGACACAATTACAAAGATTTACGGAAACGGAATAGTTTCAGGGATTTGTACCGGGATTCGTAAAATCATGTCCCGTACCGTGAAATGAACTATTGGGACCCGCCCTAAGAGATCGCTGCATTGCCTTGCCTGCCGTGACATGTCTGAAAATCGTTGTGGGGGGGTCGCGTCGCGTACACAACACGGCAATAATGTGTTGGGTTTTCTGACCCATCGCCACAATGCGGCATTATTGGTAGCGTGAGTCGCGGAGGCAATAGTGTGATAAGCCATACAGCTTAAAAAGAAAACCGATATATTCGAACGCATTCATGATTGAAATAGAAGTAGTCATTTCATACATGGGCATCCATACTTTCAATTAACCTGCAGCAACCCCAATGAAACCTTCGCTCCGCCCAATCTTCTCCTTAGCCACTGCAGTTTTTATGAACATAACCATACAGAAAACACCATCTGTCACCCGATCATCGAATAAATACACCATAATGTGGTGCGAATTACTCTGAAATAACGCTGATGGAGAAGGGATTCTCATAATCCCCCTTAGGCCCTGGCGCCGCCGCCGCGGCTGCCGCAGCAGCAGAGACAGAAGCCTGGGGAAGGAAAGCAGCTCCAGCCTCATCCATAAGCAAAGCAGACCCAGTATCCCCCACTTTCAGGGAAGATTCCAGAAGGGAATGCTCAAAACCAGCGCCAGCAGTAGCAGCAGCAGAGGGAGTAGAAGCAGAAGAGGCAGCCGCAGCAGGGGTGGGGAGCGGGAGAGCAGCGGAGCCGGGAGCAGCGCCCTCGGCGTCAAGAAGGGACTTGGCCTCAGCAAGGATGCGGGCCACCTCTGCCATGCTGGGACGGCTCTTGGGCTGGAGGAGACAGTGAGGGGGAAAGAGGTGATTAAAAAAAGAAAAAAAGGTGAAAAATATAAGGAGAAGCGTGTTGGTATCCTCTCTGATGCGATCGAGAGGGTTGCTTGGTTAGGCAGAAGTGTGAGAAAGTGAGCGTGGAAGTGTCGGAAGAGAGAAAGCGCGAGAGCAGGAGAAGGTTCCACCTGCGTGCGCACGCAGCGGTACGCAAGGTCAGCCACCTTCACGAGGCTCTGCATAGAGATAGTGCGACGTACATCTACACATATGTGCATGTTTGTGTATACCCAAATGCCTGCCCATATCTCACCTGTGTGCGCACGCAGCGGTACGCGAGGTCAGCCACCTTCATGAGGCTCTGCATGTGGCGGTCTGAGTCGAGGGTGGGCGCCACTATGGGGCGGATCTGCCCCGACTTGAGGAACGGCTCCGTCTGAAAAGGATTAGGAGAGCAGAAAAGCAGGAGAACAAGGGGATGGGGCAGGGGTAAAGTTGCATGCATGCAGCCATCTGCATCGTGGGTGAGGACTATAAAGGCTTGGTACGCAATTGGAGGGGAGAACAGAAGAAAGAGAAAGAAAGAAAGAAAGAAAGAGAGAAAGAGAGAAAGAAAGAGAGAAAGAAAGAAGGAGAGAAAGAAAGAGAGAAAGAGAGAAAGAAAGAAGGAGAGAAAGAAAGAGAGAAAGAGAGAAAGAAAGAGAGAAAGAAAGAGAGAAAGAGAGAAAGAAAGAAGGAGAGAAAGAAAGAGAGAAAGAGAGAAAGAAAGAAGAAAGAAAGAAAGTAAAAAACATCCAGTGACTGATGGTTTGCTTTAAGAGCAGATGCGGGCGTTTCTGAACCAGCGTGGGCCAATGGTTCCAGGCCAACGTGGGCCGATCTGCTTGACTCACCCACTCCACCAGGTTGAGTTTTTAGGCGCCTCAAAACTAGATCTGCTTGACTCACCCACTCCACCAGGTTGATGAGGCTCTCTCCGCTGCTCTGCAGTCCAGACGAGTCGTCCTCCTGCCAGATGGGCAGCCTCCCGGTGATCAGCTCCAGCAGCACCACTCCGAAGCTGAACACGTCGCTCTTGTCCGTGAGGTGCTGCTTGGTGTAGTACATGGGGTCCAGGTAGCCTGGTTAACAGGGGGAGGGGGGGGGGGGAGGAGGTACAGCAAGCTGGAATGAAGGGGTGAGGATCAGACGTCACTCTTGTTGGTGAGGTGCTGCTTGGTGTAGCTCGTGGGCGAGAATGCAACGTTGCTCTTGTTTAAGTCCTGTGAAGTCCGTTGTAACAAACGAGCTCCACATAAAAACAAAGCGCTACACGTATGGAAATAAGGGTTGAGACAGAAAAGCGCATAGACTCACCAAGAGTGCCCTTGACGCGGGTGCTGATGTGGCTCTTGTCGGTCTTCTCCTCCATGCCCACGCCCGTGCTGCCAGCAGCCTTCTTGCCGAGCTTGGAGAGGCCGAAGTCAGCCACTTTAGCGTTGAAGGAATAGTCGAGCAGAATGTTGGACGTCTTGATGTCACTGCGAGGGGTTGAGATGGGTTGAATGGGGAAATCAGGCACTTCAGGGTTGGTGAGTGCGCCATGGTGAGCTGAACGGAAAGAAAAAGGAGGGAGACACCTAAAACTTGGTTTAAAGCAACCAAAATCTTTAAGTGAAGATCAAATCAAAAGATTCGAGCACCCACCGGTGAATGACGGAGGGAGAGGCCCCGTTGTGAAGGTACTCCAGGCCCCTAGCAGCAGTGATGGCGATGCGCAGACGGCGGTCCCACGAGAGAGACTTCACCCTCACCACATCTGGTGTATATGAAAGAAGGAGAGTGAGAAGGTGAAGAACGTATTCATACGGGTTGAGGGTTTAGAGAGCACGACAGCAGGAGCAACAGCAGTACCACGTACCTCGGAGGTAGTCCTTGAGGGTGCCGTTGGGCGCGTATTCATACACGAGAATCAGCTGGTTGGAGTCCTCGTCGCAGTACCCAATGAGGTTCACCAGGTTCTTGTGGTGCAGCCGGCTCAGCAGCCGCACCTCCGTTAGAAACTCCGAAGCCCCCTGCTGGGACCCCGCCCCCAGCCTCTTCACCGCAACCTCAAACCCAGGCACGGCCGGTTCGGCACCGTCACCTCCCGAGCCTCCGAGCGTGGCTCGGTAGACCTTGCCGAACCCGCCCTGACCGATCAGGTTGCCCGAGGCGAAATCGTCGGTGGCTCGGCGGAGCTCTGAGAGAGTGAAGATGCGCGCGCCGAACAGGCCGGTTCGGGCTGTTGCTTCGGCGTCAAGGTTCTTGAACGCCTTGTGCTTCTCGTCTGAGGTGAGGGGAAGGAGAAGAGGGAGACAGAGAGGGAGCTGAGAGCTAGAGATGTGATGATGCGTGCACTATCCGAGAAAGCACCCCCACCAGCAGCGCCATCAGCAGCAGCAGCAGCGTGAAACCTGAGAGGGACCGTCATAGCACCAGAAACACCAGCAGCTCCAGCAGCACCAGCAACACCAGCAGCACCAGCAGCAATAGCAGCACCAAAAGCGGCACCAGCAGCACCAAAAGCGGCACCAGTAGCACCAAAAGCGGCACCAGCAGCACCAGCAGCACCAAAAAGCCACACCAGCAGCCCAGCAGCACCAAAAGTAGCACCAGCAGCACTAAAAGCCACACCAGCAGCACCAGCAGCACCAAAAGCCACACCAGCATGACCAGCAGCACCAAAAGCCACAGCAGCAGCCCAGCAGCACCAAAAGCGGCACCAGGAGACTACCTGGCGACACATCAGTGGAGCCTTCGCCTCATAGCACCTGATTCCCACGATTCCCAGAGATGAGAAGCATCTGACTGTCTGTCTGACTGACCTTCTCCAGTGGCGCCGAATTTCCCAGAGATGAGCGCAAGGAGGGCACTGTCCGAGAAAGCACCCCCGCCAGGAGCGCCAGAAGCGCCACCATGGGACTTGGAGGAGCCGCCGTTGTAGCCCGCCTCTGCCGCTGCTGCTTCCTGTGCTGCTTGGACCTGCCTCTGGCGGCGGCGTGCCCTCATGACGACAAAGGCGGTGAGAGCCGCGAGGAGGAGCAGAATGATCACCATCCCCACTGCAATGCCGATGCCAAGGGACTGTGGGCGGGGGGGGGGACGTCAGGGTTTGAGGGGAGGGAGGGGGGGGGGGGGAGATGGCGGTGAGAGCCACGAGGAGGAGAAAAAGTATGACCATTCCCACTGCGATGACAATGCCAAGGGACTGTTGTGGCGCGGGGGGGGTGGGGAGGGGAGGGGAGGGAGTTGGTGGGAGGGAAGAAGGGAGAAGTGGTTTTTAGCTTCCGCTGCTTTGATGGGATCGGGGGGGAATAGAGGCGGGATGGCATAGAGGAGAAAACGAGAGAGAATGGAGAGAAAGAGAAGGGGAGACGGGAGAGGAGACTCCAACAGTGGAGGACGACAGGAGCAGCGGGAGCGGGAGTGGTATCGACCCCGAAGGGGGCCGGGAAAGGGAGGGCAGGGCAGCAGAGAAGGGCCAGAGGTAGGGACAGGCTTACAGCAGCGGAGGACGACGAGGGGGCGGTGGGAGCGGGAGTGGTGTCAACAGCCATGAAGGGCGCAGGAGGAGGGGAGGGCAGGGCGGCGGCGCGGAGAACAGCCTGGTTGGCGAGGTCGGTGGGGAGCTGGCGGAAGACCTCGAGGGTGCTGATGAACACGTTGCTGGTAGAGGGGGGGGAAAGAGGGGGGCGGGAAGAGGGGGGGGGGAAGAGGGGGGGGGAAAGAGGGGGGGGAAAGAGAGGGGGGGGAAGAGGGGGGGGGGAAGAGGGGGGGGGGAAGAGGGGGGGGGGAAGAGGGGGGGGGGAAGAGGGGGGGGGGGGGGGGGGGTTGGGTGGAGAGGGGCGGCACTTGTGAGAGCAAGAGCAAGATCGGCCGAGAGGAGAACAGTTTGGTTGGTGAGATCGGTGGGGAGCTGGCGGAAGAGCTCGAAGGTGCTGATGAACACGTTGCTGATAGAGGGGGGGAACGGGAGGGAGAGGGGTGAAGAGGGGTACAGGGTTGGTGCATATGAGAAACAGGCAGGTTTGTACGTTTTAGGACATGAGAGTACCTTTGAGGACATGTAGCCAAAAAGTTTGATTCGGCGCCTGGGGTAGATTTCAAAAAAACGCAAAGCAGAGAAAGAATAAGATTAGAACGAACCACAAGAAGCAAAGAACGAAGCTCACTTGTGCAGGGAGTTGGTGGAGGTGTTTAAGAAGATGTTGAGGTAGCCGGAGGGGCCCGACACGACTGTTGGCGAAGGGGTGGTGGAAGAAAGGGGGGATTAGAAGGTGTTGAGGGAGATGTCCAGGTAAGCGGAGGGGCCTGAGTCCTGACACGACTGTTATGAGGGGAATGAGAAAGGTGGGTGGGGGCGGACAGGTAGCACGGGGCGGACACGACACACGAGGTGTCGAGGAAGGTGTTCAGGTAGCCGGAGGGGCCTGCCTGACTGACATTACTGTTAGAAAGAACAGAGGGACAGAGGGACAGAGGGACAGAGGGACAGAGGGACAGAGGGACAGAGGGACAGAGGGACAGAGGGACAGAGGGACAGAGGGACAGAGGGACAGAGGGACAGAGGGACAGAGGGACAGAGGGACAGAGGGACAGAGGGACAGAGGGACAGAGGGACAGAGGGACAGAGGGACAGAGGGACAGAGGGACAGAGGGACAGAGGGACAGAGGGACAGAGGGACAGAGGGACAGAGGGACGACGTGTGAGAAAGGGGGGGTTGGAGGGGAACCGATATGTGGGAGAGCTCAAGAGTTGCTGAGAAGTACGTCGAGGGCAACACGACAGTGCAGACGTGGGACCGTGTGTTATGAGTCGACTCAAAATAGACTCATGACACACCACACCAGCCAGTGGGCCGAGGGCAACAAATCCGTGCAAACGTGCGATTGTTGAGGGAGGAAGGGAGGAAGGGAGGAAGGGAGGACGGGAGGGACTTACCGTTGAGGGAGATGGATGGAATAGGGCACGCTAACACCAGCCACACTAAGCGATCAACATCCACAGCAGGGTGATAGAAGATTTGAGGGGGGAGGGGGGAAGGGAGGGACTTACCATTGAGCGTGATGGAGTAGGGCACGCCAACACCAGCCACACTGGCGAGGTCCAGCTCCTTGAACAGCAGAGTGCCGTCCACGTAGAAGTCCAGCAGACGGGCGGTCTAGGGGGAGTAGGAGGAGAGGAGGGGGAATTGATGCAGGTGTGGGAAGAAGGGGGATAAGGGGGGGAGGGTGGGGGGTGGTGTCAGTGGCAGCTCCATGCGCAGCAGAGCGCCATGCACGTAAGTCGCGTGATAGAAGTCTAGATTTGAGACGCCTCAAAACTAGCTCCATGCGCAGCAGAGCGCCATCCACGTAGAAGTCCAGCAGCCGGGCCGTCTGACGGCGGTGAAGAAGAGAGGCGGAGAACAACAGCACTAGGTGAGGGGTTCAGAAAACATTGGCGAGGACCGCCCTTGAGAACACTCCGGCATACTGCGCGGAGGGCAAGAGAACAAGGAGAGACAGCACATGCATAACAAAGGAAGAGGAGGAGGAGGAGGAGGAGGAGGAGGAGGAGGAGGAGGAGGAGGAGGAGGAGGAGGAGGAGGAGGAGGAGGAGGAGGAGGAGGAGGAGGAGGAGGAGGAGGAGGAGGAGGAGGAGGAGGAGGAGGAGGAGGAGGAGGAGGAGGAGGAGGAGGAGGAGGAGGAGGAGGAGGAGGAGGAGGAGGAGGAGGAGGAGGAGGAGGAGGAGGAGGAGGAGGTATTGGGAACAACGGGCGGGGAGAAGTTGGTGAAGGGAGACGGACGGGGACGCACCAACGTGAAGGGGAAACACGGAGTGGGCAGTGGGGGGGAGGAAGAGGAGGAAGAGGAGAAGGAAAGGACTCACGTAGTAGTACCAGAGCTCCTCGAAGCCAAAGTCAATGCGGTACGCAGTGTTGGGATCAACGGGCAGGGAGAAGTTGATGAAGGTGTTGCCGTTGTACCCGGCGTAGCTGGAATACTCCACAGATTGCAGACCAGCCTGTAGTGGGGAAGAGAAGTCATTGCGCCGGAGGGCAGGGATGGGGGTGTATGATGGTTATGGTTGGGGAGAGGGCATGGGGTAGTTCAGGAAGGTGCTGCCTTCGTACCCTGCATGCATAGCTGATGCATTTCACCAAGTGCAGACCGGCCTGCAGGGGGGATGCCCCCGGTCTGCAGGGGGGAAGGTACATGGGAGGGGCCTTGTCTGCATTGTCAACAGTCTGTGGCCACTGTGCTAGAGCCACGTGGGTGTTGTTGTCAGCGGTCTGTGACCAAAAGGGGCTTCTAGAGGGGCTGGTGGTCCTTGGGCGAAGAATGGGCTTCTTGGGGAATAGAGAGAACCTACAGTAGCACCCTACAGGCTCGAGGGAAGGGGTCCGGTAGCACTCTAGTGGTACCTAGAGACTAAAGGCTTTACTGTGGTTGAACTTTGAGTCGACTCAAAAATCACTTGAGGGAAGGGGTCCAGTAGTGGCATATAGAGCCTAGAGAGCCTTGCCGTAGCGAGGTCGAGGGGGTACCTCAAAGAACCGTGTCTGCATCCTCTCAGTCTGCCGCCACTGCATGGGAGCCACGTGAATTTTGTTGTGGCGCTGGGACTAGGAGGGTCCTTCAGAGGCGTGGGAGGGTCCTTCGGAGGACTGGGAGGGTCCTTCGGAGGCGTGGGAGGGTCCTTCGGAGGCGTGGGAGGGTCCTTCGGAGGCGTGGGAGGGTCCTTCGGAGGCGTGGGAGGGTCCTTTGGAGGACTGGGAGGGTCCTTCAAACTGGGAGGGTCCTTCGGAGGACGTGGATGTTGTTGTGGCGCCGGGACTGGGAGCGTGCTTTGGGGAACTGGGGATCGATTGGGGAAACGGAAGGCCCTTGGCGTCTTCTCTAAACGGAAAGAAGCTTACCGTGGTCAAGTCAAGAGGGTACATGAAAGGGGGCTTGTCCGCGTTGTCAACCGTCTGCGGCCACTGTGCGGGAGCCACGTGGGTGTTGTTGTAGCGCCGGGACCCGGGGTCCGTGGGCGTGTAGAGGGACTGCGGAAGCAGGTTCCAGATGCGCTGGGTGAGGTCCGAGATGGGCAGGAAGAGCCCGCAGCCAAAGCGGTAGTCCGTGGCTGGAGGGGGAGGGAGGAGGGGAAAGAAGGAGAGAGCTTGAGCAGCGTTGATTGAGCGGAAGGGAAAAGGGGCGGAAGCAGGGGGCAGAAGCAGGGGAATGCAGCAACGTACCCATGATGCGCGAGGAAGCAGTGGGCGCGGAGAGGTTGTACATGCCAGCTGTCAGCGGCACGACCTGCGGCGAGCAGACAGGCACGGGGGCGGGGGGGAAAGGGGTGGTGGTGGAGGGGGAAGGGGGGGGGTTGGGGGGGAAGGGGGGGGGGTTGGGGGGGGAAGGGGGGGGAGGCGGGGGAGGAGAGAGAGAGAGTAAGGCAGGGCCGCATCGTGGCTGTAGCAGTGGGCGCGGGGAGGCTGTCCATGGCAGCTGTGGGTGGCACGACCTGAGGCGAGCAGACAGACCGGCACGAGGACAGAGTGTGTGCGTGAGAGAGGAGGTGGGGGAGACGAGGGTGAGGTATGGGCCGCGTGGCTTTGGGTCTGCTTTTGAGTCGACTCAAAAGCCGTATGGTTTCGAGTCGACTCTAAAGCAGGAAGCATTGGGCAAGGAGAGCTTGTATATGCTGGCTGTCAGAGGCACCACCTGCAGGAGGGAGGATAACCGACAGGCAGTCGGAGAAAGACGGGGGCGGTGGGTGTGAAGGGAGGGAGAAAGGGTGAGGCGTGAGCAGAAGGTGCTGTGGCACGGTGTGGTGCAGTGCTGAGCGGTGGAAAGAGCAACTCACTGCAATAGCACTGATCATGGGCTCGCCGACCTCCCCCCGGATGAAAGCGATGTCCACAGCGCCGTCCAGCACCGGCACGATGAACTCCTCCACTCGCACGCTGCCACGTGGCACGCTGTAGTTGGTCAGCACTCGCGTGCCCTCCACCGCCACGTGGAAGCGGCGGAGCCTGGCTGACGTGTACACAATCTCGGCAAAGTAGAGACGGAGGAACACGTTGGCAGGGGGCCCAGGGACCTGAGGGGGAAAAGGGTGGGAGAAGGGTGGGAGAAGGGTGGAGAAGGGTGGGAGAAGGGTGGGAGGAGAAGGGAGGTGGGAGGGGAGGGGAGTGTGAAGAGGAGCGGTTGAGGTTGTGGTATGTAGGGTGAGACGCACTAGCTGTAAGGAGAGACAACAGGTAAACAAACCCAGCAAAAGTACAGAAATCACCGGCACTGAGTAGGTGGACACGTTTCGACCCGCCTCATCGAAGTACCGCACCGTCTCAAACACGCGCGCATCCACCCCAGGCGGACACAGATGCGCAGACAGCAAAGGCAGAGCAAGCTCGGAGCAGGTGGACTCACCGGCACGGAGTATGTCGACACATTCCGCCCCGCCTCATCGAAGTACCGCACCGTCTCAAACACGCGCGCATCCACCCCAGGCGGCGTCTTCATGAGCCCAGTCTCAGTGAACTCCACCTTCCCATACCCCATCCTGCCCGCCGGCTCAGTCCCATTCATGCTCGTTTTCAGCACCCGCGCCTTGAAACTACGCCCGAAGCTGCCCGAAAAAGTATCGGCCGCCCAGGTGTAGAGCGGGTTGGCAAGCGACTCGTTACTGCCGCAGTTGATGTACGTTCCCTGCATGAAAGCCACGACCGGCGGGGGCGGTGAGGGGAACGGCGGGGATGGCGGCACGATCCGCTGGAAAGCTGCCTCTCCGGGCTTCACTGGGTTACCATTGACGTCCGTCCCGGTGTCATCAGGTGTCGCGCCGGGTTTCGTTTTATTTGCGCTGGTCGTGACGTAATTCTGGAGAGTAGAGGAGTTGGCGGGAAAGGGAAGGCCCGTGACGTTAGTGTCAGGGGTGATGGTGCCGTTGACTATTTCCTCCACAAACAACCCCATGTCCTTGTGAGGCGGAGGGGGTGCCCCTGCTGCCCCTGCTGTCCCTGCTGCTGCTGCTGATGGGTCCGGGCCCGATCCGGGCTGATCCTGCAGCGCCCTGTGGCGCCTTGCCACGTGGCTGCTTGAGAGCCGTCCACCTTTGCCGCCGCGGATTGCGGAGCTGGAGATGAAATCGAGACCGTTGGTGAGGCGGATGGGCACAGCACCGCCAGCGCCAGCAGCGGCAGCGGCGCCAGCTGCACCAGCAGCACCAGCAGCGGAAAGGGCGGAGAGGGTGAGGGAGAGCAGCAGCAGGAGGAGGAGAGGGGACGGCAGCATGGCGGATATTAACCTACGGCGGCACCCAGGTGACGCCATGCTTTTAGATAAATAACAAACTTATTAACTTAATTCCTTGACACGGGGGGCCCTTAAAAACCAGTCACTAATAGTAATGGAGAAATCCACGTCCCAGAGAGCACATAAAAGTACTGGACTTGGAACCGACTGTCCAGCTCAGACTCGGATTCAACTGAGCGCCGGCTGAAAACGAACTGAAACGGGCCCAGCTGTGCAGCTCAGAGTCAACCTTGATTTTGCAGGGTGTTTTTGAGAATTCTCAAAAACACTCTGAGCGCCGATTGAAAACGAACTGAAACGGGCCCAGCTGTGCAGCTGAGAGTCAACCTCAGACTTATAGCCTATCAGGCGCAGGGAAACTCCAGCGCGGACGGGGCTTTCAACGGACTGAGTGTAGCAGAAGGGATTAAGTACAGAGTATAGCTAAGCCACTCCCCTTGCCGCGCTGTGGAGCGGGGCAGTTGTAGGGCTGAACAGTTCTGGCGGTAGCCTCTACTAGGCATTGTCCGTTCTGGCGGTAACCTCTCCTGGCAACGCCTAGGAGCTGTTTTCTGTTTTAACCCCTCAATCGCCACCACCTCCTCCTAGCAGCTTCTCCTCCTAACCTCTCCGTCTCCTAATATTCGTTCCCGCATCTCCTCCCGCCTGCTTCTGCTCCCCCCCTTCCCCTCCACCTCCCCCCCACCCCAACTGTGCTGCTGCTAGGAGCTGTTTCGCGCGACCCGCCTCACAGCACTGCTGTTGCGCTGCTGCCGCCATGCGCAGCTGGCAACATGAGGAGCCCGGGATTCGTCGTGTCGCGATGCTACCGAGGTGACTTTTTGAGTCGACTTAAAAGTCACCCGGGATTCGTGTCGCGATGCTACCGCCGGGCGCTGGCAACAGGAGGAACCCGGGGTTCGTGTGCGAGCCCCCGCGATGCTACTATCCCGGTGCGTTGACTCGAGTGCTTGTTGACTCGCTCGCGGAGGAGCAAGATCGGTACAGAATGGTTCTTCTGACTCGCTAGTGGTACGCACAAAGGCAGCACCCGGCGCGGATTCAGTGATGCACACTGAAGCGGCGCATGGCGCGGGCTCCTGAGAGGAGATGAAACGGCCCTTTTTAGGAGATGAAACGGCCCTATTAGAGGAGATGAAACGGCACTTTGAGACCTGCCGCTGTACAGCGCTCGATTTGCAAGTTGCAACTGGGTGGGATCTTCTTGGCTCGGGGTCGCGTGGCAACCGCTCTGCCGGAGCAGACGAGCCGCTCGTCCGGCGAACGAGCAGTTTGCGGGCTTCCCAGGGTCTCCCCCCCTGGTGTCTCTAATGGCGACGCGACCTGGGAGTTCGTGAGACTCTGCTGCGACGCTGCATGCGGTGAGCCTGAGCACGCGAGCTGCCAGGTAGAGGCCTCGAAACGACCCCCCCTCCCCTCCCCCCGCCCTCCTTGCGCGGGGAGCCCCCGCCATCGGCACTGTCGCGCAAGCTCGCGCAACATCGGCTGGGTCGCAGAGATGGTTTCGGGAGACGAAACGGCACTAACGGGAAAATGCCTCGAGAACCTCCTAAACTGGAATCCTCCATGGAATAAGTGGGGGGTACAGTACACGCATGCATGACCGTTTCGTATCTGTTCGTTGCTCCATGGCTTGCGGGCATTTCGATGGAAGATGAATCGTCGCGTTGTCATCACAGGCAGCAGACCTGCTAAATTCTGAACCCTTTTGTGGAGGCATTCCGTTCCGTCCACGTGGTTGACCTATTATTCGTACACTTTGTGAAACGCATTGGAATTGGTATAGGAGACCGTGGATATGTCAACCACAACACAATGTTGTGAAATATTTGTGCGCTTCTTGGATAAAGATTTCAATTTATTACCGTACATTTAACATGAATTTGCAAGGCGTTTCTTTTGAGAACGCTAAAAACTCGCTACGCGATGTACCATACTCCTCCAACAATGTGCTTCTCCCTTTCTTCCTATCAAGCTGTGCTCGGTACACCAGCAAACAAGAGCACTCTCTTCATTGTTTTTCCTGATTTCCCTGGTCTCCCCTGCAAGCAGGTGGGCACAAAGGCTCGCACAAAGTGCGCTCATGTTGCCACTTAGGATAGGACGGGGGGGGGGGGGCATACTGTAAGCCTAGGCCAGTGCTGGCACATGGTTGCGACAATGACAATGGATGTGTTTTATGGAGGAAGTGCTAAAAGGCGATAAAAGGCTATAGGTAGGCCTATGTACAGATGCAAGGACCAAGGGAAATGAAGGGGCAAAATGAGAGGAGGGCCGGAGGGGACAATAGCTGTCAAGGTACGGCACTGCCACACCACACCAGCCTCTCCTGTCACCATCCAGCTGATATCAACGAACCAGACTCGAGTCATTCCAGTCCAGAGCCGGCTTCTCGGCCCACCAACTCAACCAGTAGCACGGGTCAAAGCTCGACCCGTGTTTCGGAGGACCACAAATCCTGCCAACATTGCCATGAACTGGAATCAGTCTATTCTAGCGCCAGCTTCTCAGGCCACCAGCACCGCAGCCAATGATTCGAGGCAACTCAAGATTCCAACGGTCCAAGTCATTCCAGCGCCGGCTTCTCAGGCCACCAGTCCAGCCAGTAGCACGAATCGAAGCTCGACCCTGACGTGCCTGTCACTGTAGCAGGCCCTGCCACGTCATCACCGTCATCGCTGGTCATCGACGTCACCGACCAATCATCTCCCTCCTCCTCCCCTTCCGCCACATCTGATCCTATTCCAGCTCCTCCAACCCCGGCCACTTTCCCAACACCATTACTACCACCACTGCCACCACCAACACCCCCTCCTCCTCCTCCTCCTCCTCCTCCTCCTCCTCCTCCTCCTCCTCCTCCTCCTCCTCCTCCTGCTGTTGTTGCTCCTCCTCTTGCTCGTCCACTGGAGGTGGTCCCAAGCCAGGTATTCACATCGATTGAGAGGGAGATGTTGGGGTTCCAACGCCCGCCAGGGACTTTACAGCTAGCACTCCGCCCAAACATGCTGTCTGCAAGTGCTATTCCCACACCCCTGGTAGTACTGCTGCCACCGCTACCACCACGGCGATTGCCACTGCTGCTAGCGAAAGCTCCGCTGCTGCTGTTGCTGGCTTCCCTCCCTCCTCCCCTCTTTGTAAGCACGGGGTCGCTGTCTCGGGACCACGGGTGCAGTATCGGGAGCACACGCATGGTTCGGAGCACGTCTGATATAGTCACAACGCCCTCGAGCACAGGGCCGGATGGTGCAAAGTTATAGGGGGTTTTGGCAGGAGGCTCATCTGATGTAACAGTACTCGCATCCTCGTGTGGAAAATTCTCGCTAGAAAGTGATTCTTTATGGTGTGAAGCCGCAGGGAGGGGGTGGATGGGAGGTGGTTTGACGACCCATATGCGATGCACTCGATTGGTGACTAGCAGGGAGAGCACGTGACGCAACGTTGCAGCACTGGATTGGGGGGCAAGGGAAGTGCGGAAAGAGCAGGGGCATGAGGCGGAAGCACGGCCATTAGAACAACCCCGTCACTCCTCCCCCACTCACAACCCCTTTCTCTCACCCTCTCCCTCACACACTCTTTCTATCCCCCTCACTCGTTTCTCTCGCTATCCCCTTCTACCTCCCCTCCTCCCCTTAATATTCAAACACTCACCTAGTGCATGTAACCAGCTTTATAAAACTGCCTTCACATAATTCTCAGAGAGCAGCAAACTTATTCAGGCTTGATTAGACAGAGAGGAGAAAAAACTGGTACGCGCTTGTGAAACACTCACCTAGTGCATGTAACTAGCTGTGTCTCCCCCACTCCGTCCGCCTCTGTTCCCCTTGATGGGCCCCCAGCTGCCCCTGACCCTGTCTCTGCTGTTGCTCCGGCTACAGGTGCGTCTGTAACCGGTTTTTGAGGCGCTTCAAAAATTTCTCCCGCTATAGGTGCATCTGTAGCTGTAACCGGCGCCCTTGCTGCTGCTGCTGCTGCTGCTGCTGCTGCTGCTTCTGATGCTGCTTTGACTGCTGCTGATTTGCACGAGAGGAATTCGGCTACTGTGGTGGTGGGTGTGAGAGACAGGATGGTACTAATGTCCACCTGGTGGCAAGGGCAGAGGAAAGGGGTTTGGGGTGATACGGACGTAGCAGCAAAATTATGCAAGGGCGAGGGCAGGGGAAAGGGGAAAACAACGACTGAAAGGTATACGACACACTGGCACACGATAAGACACGCCCATCCATGGGGCAGAGAGGACATGGGTATGGGGCATGCCCCATCCATGGCCCAGAGAGGACAGGTGAAGGCAGAGCATGGGGCGATGTGTTGCTCTGCTGATAGCATGCGTGATTCATGCCTCGCGTGTTGGACATAAGAGGCTGAAAGCGTGCCTAGAAGCGCACTGCCACGTTCCCCCATGGGCAACTGAGGACGGAATGCACGCTCGCTCGCTCGCACGCTCGCTCGCACGCTCGCACGCACGCACGCACGCACACACACGCACGCACGCACGCACGCACACACACGCACGCACACACACGCACACACGCACGCACGCACCCACACACACCCACGCATGCATGCACGCACGCACAAGCGCGTTGATCATGCACAAATCACGCCTCACCTGTTTGACATCAGAGGCCGAAAGCGTGTCTAAAAGCACACTGCCACACCCCCCCATGGGCCACTGAGGCAGCACGGCAGAAGTCCCAGCCCTCTCCTTCTTCTCCTCCTCATCCCCCTCCTCCCCCGCATCTGCCCGACCTGCCTTGGGCCGAACCACTGCCACGGCGCTTATCTGCGAGGGTTAAGGGTTTGGGGGTGGAAGAGGGGGGATCAGGGTGAAAGGGAGGAACAGAACGGGTGGTCGGGCTGCAGCAATGCAGAGGGGGCCGGGGGGGGGTGGTTCGAAGGGGGATGGCTTTTAAGACGTCTCAAAACTCAACTTCTTCCACACAGGGACAATCGGCAGGATGAGTGGGTGGCTAGTTGAAAGGGCTGCACCAATGCAGAGGGAGGGCAGGGCGTGGTGGGTTGAAGGGGAATGGGGTAGTGATAAGTCTTGAGATGTGCTAAAAAGGGTTGGAAAATGAAACTTGTGTCGGGTTGCACTACAGTGAAACCGTCCAAAAAGGGGATGGATGGAGAGGCAGAGCGAACCAATGGTGTTTATACCCACCCCCTTGGTTATTACCTCTCGCTAGAGACCGTCATCCCAGCCACTCACCCCCCCGGTTCGGAAGGCGTCCAGACGAGGGGTGGATGGAGGATGGATGGAGAGACAGAGACGCCTGACTGACTGCGAGGCAGAAGACTACCTGCTTAGTCGTCACCTCCCACTAAAATCACCCCTACCGCATGCACTCACCCACCCCTCGGATCCGAAACATGTTGAAGGCGTCCAAAAGAGGGGTGGATGGAGGATGGAGAGACAGAGACGACTGGAGGCATACACACACACACCCACCCCCTTCCTTGTCGCCTCTCGTTATAAGCCTTTCCTATTACTGCTGCATTCACCCACCCCTCGGATCCGAAACATGTTGAAGGCGTCCAAAAGAGGGGTGGATGGAGGATGGAGAGACAGAGACGACTGGAGGCATACACACACACACCCACCCCCTTCCTTGTCGCCTCTCGTTATAAGCCTTTCCTATTACTGCTGCATTCACTCACCCCTCGGATCCGAAACATGTTGAAGGCGTCCAAAAGAGGGGTAGTCGGAGAGACGGAAACGACCGAGGGCCAGACGAGGCCAATGTCATCGATGCTGCAATTGGGGAATAAAATCGACACTGACGATGAGAAAATGGCCCATACAGGTCTCGAACCTGTGACCTTCGCGTTATTAGCACGACGCTCTAACCAGCTGAGCTAATAGGCCGATGCTGATGTGTGCACCATAACAATAATGATACAAATGAACAAGCATGAGCATGGCTGTGTTTTGTCATTCCTCATTCAGCTGTGGGGCATGGCTGTGCTTCCGACATGGTGGTTTTTCTTTTTAGGTGCCTTGGTATGGGCATGGCTGTGCTTTCGACATGGTGGATTTTCTTTCTAAGTGCCTTGGTATGGGCATGGCTTGTCAATTGGACATACCTCAGCCAGCGCCAGGCCCAGCAGCCCAGATGCTTGAGCATGAACTCAGCGATGGCCATCTGAGACAGCACGCAGGACTCTTCCCTGCCACGCCACCCTCCCCCCAGCGTACCACGTTGCAGCTGGTACCTACCTTTTAGCTAGCGCCAGGCCCAGCAGCCCTTCGTGCTTGAGCATGAACTCGGCAATGTCCAACTGCGACAGCACGCGGTACTCCTCCCCTGCCACGCCACCCTCCCCCCCCAGCTGCGACTGCAGCAGCGACGGCATGGGCATGGCCGTGCTCTGGTCGTGGTCCCGGGGGCACACGTTGGGAACCAGAGCGCGGTGGAAGCCCCGGGAGCCGAGCATCTCCATGGCTTGGAACACCCTGAGAGGCGTGAGGGGGGGGGAAGGGGGGTTGAGGGCACAAGGAAGGAAGGGGTAAGGAGGAGAAAGCAACGCTTAAATGAGGGCATGGGCGTGGCCGTGCTCTGGTCGTGGTCCCGGGGGCAGATGTTGGAAACCAAAGCGCGGTGGAAGCCCCTAGAGCCGAGCATCTCCATGGCTTGGAACACTCTGAGAGGCGTGGGGGGGAGTGGGGGGGGGGGTCAGCAAGCAGAAGTGAGGGGCATGGGCATGGCAGTGCTCTGGTCGTGGTCCCGGGGGCAGATGTTGGAAACCAAAGCGCGGTGGAAGCCCCTAGAGCCGAGCATCTCCATGGCTTGAAACACCCTGAGATACGGCAGAGGGGAAATGGAAGGTGGCATCGGCATGGCTGTGCTCTGGTCGTGGGCATGGGGATCTCTGGTCATGGTCACGGGGGCAGTCGTTGGGGATGAGAGCTCGGTGAAAGCCCCTGGAGCCCAGCATCGCCAGCTAGGGACACTCTGGGATAGGGGAGAGAGGGAAGGTGGGTGGGCTGTTGGATAGCAGAAGGAAGGAGCGAGGAGGAGAGCAGGCAGTTCGATTGGGGCAAGGAAGGACGTGAATGGGGCAGGGGCAGGGCAGTGCTGTGGTCATCATGACCACATGGATGGGCGGACACGTGTTGGGGGGGGATGAGGGCGCGGAGGAAGTCCCTAGAGCCCAGCATCGCCCAGCGTGTTGTAGTCAGCACCCCTGCATAACTTCACTCCATTTTCACCTCTGCATGACTCACCTCACCAGCATTGAGCGAGTCTTCTCGTCTTCTCCACAATACCCCCCTGCCCTCCACAGCATGTGGATTGGATACCCTCAAACTCAACCCCCAAGACTCACGTGGCATGGGGATCCAGCACCAGCATCGTGCGAGTCTCCTCTGTCCGCCCCATCACATCCGCCACACGCGCCCCTTTCAGCCACTCCAACTGCCCCACTCCACTGCTTGCACGGCTCCCCTCACCCTTCCCTGCCCCCTCACCCTTCCCTGCCCCCTCACCCTTCCCTGCCCCCTCACCCTTCCCTCCCCCTTCACCCTTCCCTCCCCCTTCACCCTTCCCTGCCCCCCCACCCCCGCCTCCCCCTTCCACCCCTTCCTCTCCTCCCCTCCCTTCACCCCCTCCTTCTCCCTCCCTTTCCGCATCCTCCCCGCTCTGCTGCTCCGGAATCGGCTCCAGACTAGCGCCAGGGATACTCCCACTGGTAAAGCTGCTGCCATTGCTGGTGGCGGCTGTGGCGGTGGCGGCTGTGGCAGTGGCGGCAGCAGTGGTGGTGTTGCAGCGCCGGGCGATGAAGATGGTGATGTCGATCACTGAGACCTGCGGTAGGGAGTGCAGTGAAGCGTGCACAGGGATTCTTAAGCACGGGAATTTGCGCCACTCCGGTCACCACCAGCTATGCCACTGCTGCTGGTGGCGGCTGTTGTGGTGGCAGCAGTGGTGGTGTTGCATCGCCTGGCGATGAGGATGGTCATGTCGATCACTGAGATCTGAGATGGGGAGTGAACATGCAAGCAAGCACAGAAGTTGCCGAGCAGTGGGTTTCGTGCCACTACAGCCGCTGCTGGTGGTGACAGCAATGGTGGTGGTGGTGCGTTTGGCAATAAATATAATGATGTCAATTACCAATATTCCTGAGAGCACGGATGCATGGTGCTAACTCGAGTGTGCTTAAAAATGAGCAAAAAGCGCACGAATTTTACGTGAAGAGAGACGCTTGTGGTGTGGCTGTGGGCCCTTATCCATCCTTTTTCACTCGTCCTTTATTCCTCATGCTCAGAAGGATAACCCTGTTGCTCTTAGGAAACAAGTGGATACTCTCTAGCCACGGCGCATCGCGTACTTTTCTTCTTTTCATAGAAGGTAGTTTTACGTAACTTTATGACCTCTCCATCCTCACACGCGCTCCAAACGTACAATATTAATTACCTTGAATGTCAGGAAACTCACCATTCCTATAAATTTAGTTTTAGAAGGAGTCATGAGCCGAGGGTACTCCTGCGTTCGTCGCGTGGAGGCGGAAATCGCCGACATCTGCGCGAGCAGGCGCCTCTGCGCGACTTGCGCCAACTTCTGCGCGGACCACGGCTGCGCGGACCACGAGCACGCTCTTGCAAGGACTCACCATGCCGATAAAACGCATGTTCGAGGGAGCCATGAGCCGAGGATACTCCTGCGTTCGTCGCGTAGAGGCGGAAATCGCCGACATCTGCGCGAGCAGGCGCCTCTGCGCGACTTGCGCCAGAGACGGCGCGGAGCGGACGGGCATGGCGGTGATGTTGTGGCGGCGGAGCAGGTCCAACGCGGTATGGATTGACGCGTTAGCGTCCACGGATACGAGACATTTCTTTCCGGCCACTATGTCTTTGACGCACGTTGAGCGCAGAACCTTCGCCATAGCGATCGATTCGGCGTTACAGAAAGCACAGCCTGTGAAGATAGGAGATGATGCTAGCAGCCTCGATTCTTAGAAAGGAGCCGTACTAATTTGCGACGGTTGGGACGCTACCTTTTTTTCTATATCCAGACACAGAAATGCATATTGGGCTCCTAGATTTCAATGAAGAAGCAACTATCCCACATTCTAGAGCTTGTGCTAAAGCAAGAAAGCATCTGACACACATCCGTGGTGTTGGCTGTGTGGGGCTTCTTGAATTAGAGGAACCAGTTTGCACGGAGCGCGTTCCTCAAGGTTCTCCAGGTTTGGGGGGATTACAGTACTTCCCAAATCAACCAACCCAACCTAAGTGTCGCTGCTCTGGACTGGGAGCTCGTCGGCGATTGTGGGTGCACCAGCCAGACCCACAATGCCAGAATCGATTTGAGGGAAAATTTCCCAATGCCCAGCATATGTGTTCAGGCCATGACGTGTTTCTGATATCATCCAGCTTGGAGCTGATCCAGTCAACGCTACTGTATCGGGAGCAACTTTGCACGCGGACTTCATTTTGATGACCGAAAAGAGCTCACATTCAGCAACGAAGGTGTATTTCTTCACTTGTTCATAAGTTGCTTCGTTTGGTGTAGCTCGCGTCCAACAACGCGAATTTCGTACAGCCTGGAGATCGCGTCGCCCTCTGATTGGCTTGTAAGTGAGTGCTGTCGTAACATCAGCCAGAAAGTATCGTGCCACGTGGCTAAGCAACTTTTAACGAGATCCCTTTTTTGCCTGATATTTGCCACCGACAACAGCCAGCACAGCCAGACCAGACCAGAGTTTAGGAAAAAGCGCCACGAATCACACCAACGCAGCACCTGTTAGGGAATGTGGAGCCGAGGGGCGCGTCAGGATCAGAGTTTGGGAGGGGTGCAGTGTTCTTGTGAGGGAAGGAAGCCCTACCATCGAATGGGCTTGGCTGATCTCCGATCAAAACTAGTTTCTCCCTTCCAGGAGCTTCTAAACAGGCAAATACAGCTCCAACAATCGGCAGGCAACCAGCACATCTTTGCTCTAGCCGTCTCCAGGCCCCACACTCCAGAGACCTGGCTCTAGGTTCCAGGCTCCAGTCTCCTGACTCCAGACTCCGGGCTCCAGGCTCCAGTTCTTAGCACAGAGCTGATCCTGTAACAGCGGTTTATTAGTTTGTTTCCGTTGGCGACTCTTCCCCACCATGTCGGCCGCCTCATCTGTCCAGCTGTTTGTGCGAATCACTCCGGCGTGTCGGAGAACCTCCTTGCCTCGGACTAGCACTTATAAAGAACAACAGTCACCGTCGAGACTGGCGTCCGTAACCCGAACCAAGATACCTCTCCGCTCCAGCCGAACCAACCCACGCCCCTCCACTTCTCGAATGAGCTGCATCAGCCAAGCGAGCCCTAGCCCCTCACCATCCTCACCTTCTTCAGCAGAATCCATAGCGCGTAAGGGTCTGTTTTCGAAATCTCCCAGTCGAGATGGTGTACAAGCCGAAGCTTCCGCTTCCACCATCGCCCCTCTTGAAACGCAATCCCCCATGAGCACATCCTCGTTACCCACAGCGATCGAGGATTTCCCCTTGAGCCCGAATCCTCTTCCTGACAGCCAGCCTGCTCGCGCTGTGGTATCTCTAGAACGGGGAATCAATAAGCTGATCACCGACGCCGCGTTTCACATCTTAAACACCTTCTACGGGACCACCGAGCGCGCGTACGCTCGCTTCTACGTCCTCGAAACGATCGCGCGCGTTCCGTACTTCTCGTACGTTTCGATCCTCCATCTGTACGAGAGCTTCGGCTGGTGGCGGCGGATCGAGTTCCTTAAAGCCCACTTTGACGAGAGCGTGAACGAGACGCATCATCTGATGATCATGGAGGCGCTTGGCGGCGATCGCAGCTGGATGGATCGATTCGTCGCACAGCACATCGCCGTGGGTTACTACTTCTTCGCGATTTTCTGCTACCTGATCAGCCCTCGCATGGCGTATCATCTGTCGGAGCTGGTAGAGGAGCATGCGTATGAAACGTATGATAAATTCCTCATGAGCCAGGGAGAGCTTCTCAAGACACAGCCGGCTCCGGAGGTACACTCCGTCCCCGTTATTATTCAACTCTCATTGTTCAGCTAACGTGTCCAGACTATGTCGTGTACCCCCATCGTGCGTTGCATGTCCACATTCTTTCTGCATACCACTCTTCTGCAGCAGGTTATGTCTGTTTCCAGCTATCTCCGTTCCTGACCCCACTCTCTCCTTTTCCCTCTTTTCATATCCGAGTCCTTTTCCCCTCTCCCGTGGCCGTTCCCCTCTTGTTCAGGTGGCCGTCAGCTACTACAACGGGGGTAATCTGTACCGATTTGACGGATTTCAGGTGCAGCCTGACACGTCACGGCCGTCTCCCCTCGTGGAGAGTCTGTACGACGTGTTTGTGAACATTCGGGACGACGAGGCGGAGCACTGCAAGACCATGCGCGCATGCCAGGCAGTGCAGAGAGGGAAAGGTGAGCTTCCAATCTGGAAAGTGAGCTTGCCTTGCTGTGGGGCGATGTGAGCTTGCAATGGTCACACGAAATGAGTTGATAGGGTGTGTTGAGGTGTCTCACGAAGCACATGTCAGGCACCAGAGGCCGAGAAAGATGAGTTTCCAGTAACCAGATGACACGTCACGGCCATCACCCAGCGTGGAGAGTCTGTACGACGTGTTCGTGAACATTTGGGACGACGAAATGCCCAAATGTGCGCATGACTATGCGCGCATGCCAGGCGCCACAGACAGGGAAGGTGAGCCTCCAATGGGGAAACGTGAGCTTGCTACAGGAAAAAGGTGAACTTGCTACAGGGAAAGGTGAGCTTGCTACAGGCTAAGGCTAGCTTGCCTTGTAGTGGGGCAATGTGAGCTTGCAATAGTCACGCAAAAGGAGTTGCCAGGGTCTGTTGAGTCGTCTCAAGAAGGCACATGTCAGGCACCAGAGACCAGAAAAGGTGAGTCCCCTCCCAAGTAACCATATGACATGTCATCGCCATCACCCCGCGTTGAGAGTCTGTGCGGCGTGTTTTTTAACATTCAGGATGACAATGCAGAGGACTGCAAGTCTATGCGCATGTGCCATGCACTGCAGACAGGCATCTGACCATAAGGACTCCCCTTGTGTGTGCTGCGGTTGCTTGCAGGGCTGCATGACGTGGGGTGCTCAGGTGTGGTGGAATGCGCAGTGACTTCGTCGTCTGCTGCTGACCGGATGCCTGTGGACTGAGGGAAGTGTTCCCAAAACCTCGAGTTTCACAGTGTGGGAAGCTAGGTGTTGCAAAATGTGTAGTGGTGTCCTCATCTGCAGCAGACGGATGCCCCTGGTTGAGATTTATAGAGAACAGGGATGCCTGGGTCAATTGGCTTTGGCACTAGTTTCTACAATGTAAAAATGTGGGAATCTTGTGGAATACCATATCACATTTAAAATAATATTTTTTATGGGCACAGGGTACATGCTGTACAGCAGAGAGCAGTGAGCACATACTGTATTCGCTGAGCGAGGCAGAGGATGTGACAGACAGGTGGAATGCCCTTATTATGCCAATGTTTTTCTGCTTCCTTCTACCTAATCATCCAACGTGCAGTTGGACATACTGTTTAGGCTGCTTGAGTGTAGCCTGCCACTTATAGCAGTGTGTTATAAAGCATCTCCAGCCACGAGTCTGTTACGCCAGCTTCACACCAATGCAGGCAGTCATGCTTCCCTGTGTTCCCGCCTGCAAAATGAGAGATACACAACAGGATAGGTAAAACAGGGCACATTTAAGGAGAGCACACGGGGGGAGGGGTGAGGGAAAACATCATGGCTGGAGAAAAACAAGAAATAATAACACAAAAAACAACACATTCATGGGTACATAATATGGGTGGGTCGGTTGTTACGTACGGTTATAGCACTCGCCCATTCGTTATTCCAACAAGAAACACCATACAATTGTCCCACCTGGAGTGGTCCATTTTGATAAATGCCCATCCGGACGCCAGAAGCTCATTGGTAACACATCCACGTAACGTAACTTGGACCCCTTTAGCACCTGTAGCTGCACTTTGCGCATTTCAAACGATCGGCTATCCATCCGCCTCACTTCTTGTGTCTGCAGTGGGGAAGAAAAATGGGGCCAAGTTTGGAGAAGGATGTGAGGCCTTGGATAATTTCTAATGGGCGTATTTTAAAGGATAGGCTGTCCTTTCTCCTCTTTCATCCCTGCTTCAGGAACTATGTAATGCAACAGCAACACCCCCACCACCACCACCTTATATCTCACACTTAACCTGCAACCCTGCTACCTCATGCTGGTATCCACTCACATACCTGGTTCCGAGTCAACGGATGGTCGACGTCGCATTTCCCCGCTTTCATCCCTGGTTCAGGGACAATGTAATGCGACGGCGACACCCCCATCACCACAGCCTTTCCTTGCACACTGCAACCCTGCAGCCCTGCTACCCTGTGACCCTGCAACCTTATGCCGGTGTTCATTCACCTACCTAGTCCTTAGTCAACGGATGGTCGACATCGCATCTCCCCGCTTTCATCCCTGGTTCAGGGACAATGTAATGCGACGGCGACACCCCCATCACCACGGCCTTTCCTTGCACACTGCAACCCTGCAGCCCTGCTACCCTGCGACCCTGCAACCTTATGCCGGTGTTCATTCACCTACCTGGTCCCCAGACAACGGATGGTCTACAATGTAATGCGACGGCGACACCCACATAGCCACCGCCTTCCCTGGCACAGTTTTACGGCAACCCTGCTACCCCATCACCACCATCACCACAAACCTAAACCCAACGCCTGGTTACAGCCTCACTCCCAATTCATACAGGGCTCCAGTCGAGCCTACCTGGTTCCAAGTCATCGGATGGTTGACATCGCATTTTCCCTCCTTCATTCCCGCTTCCGGGACGATGTAATGCGACGGCGATACCCCCATCACCACTGCCTTACCGGCAAAACCTGAGCTCTCCACATAGTTTTTCAAAGTCTTAAGCCCGATCGCGTAGGCCGCGTTCCGGGTGATCTTTTGCTGCTGCCCGCCTAAGAACCACTGGTTGTCAGAGGCGTACCACCAATTAGTAGCCTGGAATATAACTATGTCGGCTTTTGGGAGGAGGTCTTTAATCTTCGGGTCGATTTGGTCTAGATAAATGCGTCTTGCTTGCTGCTGCGCCTGGGGAGACACGATGCTCGGTTTCTTCTTCCCCGCTTTTGCTTCTCCCACTGTCGCTGCTACTGCCACTGCTGCTTCTTCGTCTGCTGCTGCTGCAGCTGCCGCTACTGCTACTGCTGTTGACACTCGTGGCCATGCTGCGTCTGCTGCAGCCGACATGGCAATGGCTCGTGCGATGGCTGATTCCGTTGACACTGCCCCCCCTGCTGCTGTTTCGGCCGCTGTCTCTGCTTCTAATGCACCAGCAGCAGCAGCAGCTGCTGCACTTTGCTTTCTCTTGCCGGAGCCAGGCACGGAGGGAGGCTGAAGTGCATCAGAGAGGAGGCCAATGTTGTTGAGGTGAGAGGAGAAGAGGGATGCCAAGCGGATGTTGTGTGGATCCATCTGAAGATGAGATGGGATTTGGGGGGGGGGAGTGTGGGGGGGGGAGAGAACTTTCGAGTTGACTCAAAAGGTGGGAGAAGAGGGATGCCAAGCGGATGTTGTGTGGGAGCATCTGAAGAACAGATGGGGTTGGGGAGAGAGGGAGAGGGGAGGGGAGAGGGAAGGGGGGAAGGGGGGGAGTCGGGAGAGAGGGGGGGATGCAAGGGGAGAGAACTGCGAGGGTAAGGGCAAGAGGCTGAGTTTGGCAGGGGAGGAGATGCTGGTTGGTGGGGCACTGGGTTCGTCCTGCTGTTGAGTGTGGGAGGGCTTAGGGCTACAGGTGCGCACCAGTGACCTAACGAGCCCCGATGCGGGGGAGACGATCCCAGTTAGGAGATGCTGGTTGGTGGGGCACTGGGTTCGTCCTGCTGTTGAGTGTGGGAGGGCTTAGGGCTACAGGTGCGCACCAGTGACCTAACGAGCCCCGATGCGGGGGAGACGATCCCAGTTAGGAGATGCTGGTTGGTGGGGCACTGGGTTCGTCCTGCTGTTGAGTGTGGGAGGGCTTAGGGCTACAGGTGCGCACCAGTGACCTAACGAGCCCCGATGCGGGGGAGACGATCCCAGTTAGGAGATGCTGGTTGGTGGGGCACTGGGTTCGTCCTGCTGTTGAGTGTGGGAGGGCTTAGGGCTACAGGTGCGCACCAGTGACCTAACGAGCCCCGATGCGGGGGAGACGATCCCAGTTAGGAGATGCTGGTTGGTGGGGCACTGGGTTCGTCCTGCTGTTGAGTGTGGGAGGGCTTAGGGCTACAGGTGCGCACCAGTGACCTAACGAGCCCCGATGCGGGGGAGACGATCCCAGTTAGGAGATGCTGGTTGGTGGGGCACTGGGTTCGTCCTGCTGTTGAGTGTGGGAGGGCTTAGGGCTACAGGTGCGCACCAGTGACCTAACGAGCCCCGATGCGGGGGAGACGATCCCAGTTAGGAGATGCTGGTTGGTGGGGCACTGGGTTCGTCCTGCTGTTGAGTGTGGGAGGGCTTAGGGCTACAGGTGCGCACCAGTGACCTAACGAGCCCCGATGCGGGGGAGACGATCCCAGTTAGGAGATGCTGGTTGGTGGGGCACTGGGTTCGTCCTGCTGTTGAGTGTGGGAGGGCTTAGGGCTACAGGTGCGCACCAGTGACCTAACGAGCCCCGATGCGGGGGAGACGATCCCAGTTAGGAGATGCTGGTTGGTGGGGCACTGGGTTCGTCCTGCTGTTGAGTGTGGGAGGGCTTAGGGCTACAGGTGCGCACCAGTGACCTAACGAGCCCCGATGCGGGGGAGACGATCCCAGTTAGGAGATGCTGGTTGGTGGGGCACTGGGTTCGTCCTGCTGTTGAGTGTGGGAGGGCTTAGGGCTACAGGTGCGCACCAGTGACCTAACGAGCCCCGATGCGGGGGAGACGATCCCAGTTAGGAGATGCTGGTTGGTGGGGCACTGGGTTCGTCCTGCTGTTGAGTGTGGGAGGGCTTAGGGCTACAGGTGCGCACCAGTGACCTAACGAGCCCCGATGCGGGGGAGACGATCCCAGTTAGGAGATGCTGGTTGGTGGGGCACTGGGTTCGTCCTGCTGTTGAGTGTGGGAGGGCTTAGGGCTACAGGTGCGCACCAGTGACCTAACGAGCCCCGATGCGGGGGAGACGATCCCAGTTAGGAGATGCTGGTTGGTGGGGCACTGGGTTCGTCCTGCTGTTGAGTGTGGGAGGGCTTAGGGCTACAGGTGCGCACCAGTGACCTAACGAGCCCCGATGCGGGGGAGACGATCCCAGTTAGGAGATGCTGGTTGGTGGGGCACTGGGTTCGTCCTGCTGTTGAGTGTGGGAGGGCTTAGGGCTACAGGTGCGCACCAGTGACCTAACGAGCCCCGATGCGGGGGAGACGATCCCAGTTAGGAGATGCTGGTTGGTGGGGCACTGGGTTCGTCCTGCTGTTGAGTGTGGGAGGGCTTAGGGCTACAGGTGCGCACCAGTGACCTAACGAGCCCCGATGCGGGGGAGACGATCCCAGTTAGGAGATGCTGGTTGGTGGGGCACTGGGTTCGTCCTGCTGTTGAGTGTGGGAGGGCTTAGGGCTACAGGTGCGCACCAGTGACCTAACGAGCCCCGATGCGGGGGAGACGATCCCAGTTAGGAGATGCTGGTTGGTGGGGCACTGGGTTCGTCCTGCTGTTGAGTGTGGGAGGGCTTAGGGCTACAGGTGCGCACCAGTGACCTAACGAGCCCCGATGCGGGGGAGACGATCCCAGTTAGGAGATGCTGGTTGGTGGGGCACTGGGTTCGTCCTGCTGTTGAGTGTGGGAGGGCTTAGGGCTACAGGTGCGCACCAGTGACCTAACGAGCCCCGATGCGGGGGAGACGATCCCAGTTAGGAGATGCTGGTTGGTGGGGCACTGGGTTCGTCCTGCTGTTGAGTGTGGGAGGGCTTAGGGCTACAGGTGCGCACCAGTGACCTAACGAGCCCCGATGCGGGGGAGACGATCCCAGTTAGGAGATGCTGGTTGGTGGGGCACTGGGTTCGTCCTGCTGTTGAGTGTGGGAGGGCTTAGGGCTACAGGTGCGCACCAGTGACCTAACGAGCCCCGATGCGGGGGAGACGATCCCAGTTAGGAGATGCTGGTTGGTGGGGCACTGGGTTCGTCCTGCTGTTGAGTGTGGGAGGGCTTAGGGCTACAGGTGCGCACCAGTGACCTAACGAGCCCCGATGCGGGGGAGACGATCCCAGTTAGGAGATGCTGGTTGGTGGGGCACTGGGTTCGTCCTGCTGTTGAGTGTGGGAGGGCTTAGGGCTACAGGTGCGCACCAGTGACCTAACGAGCCCCGATGCGGGGGAGACGATCCCAGTTAGGAGATGCTGGTTGGTGGGGCACTGGGTTCGTCCTGCTGTTGAGTGTGGGAGGGCTTAGGGCTACAGGTGCGCACCAGTGACCTAACGAGCCCCGATGCGGGGGAGACGATCCCAGTTAGGAGATGCTGGTTGGTGGGGCACTGGGTTCGTCCTGCTGTTGAGTGTGGGAGGGCTTAGGGCTACAGGTGCGCACCAGTGACCTAACGAGCCCCGATGCGGGGGAGACGATCCCAGTTAGGAGATGCTGGTTGGTGGGGCACTGGGTTCGTCCTGCTGTTGAGTGTGGGAGGGCTTAGGGCTACAGGTGCGCACCAGTGACCTAACGAGCCCCGATGCGGGGGAGACGATCCCAGTTAGGAGATGCTGGTTGGTGGGGCACTGGGTTCGTCCTGCTGTTGAGTGTGGGAGGGCTTAGGGCTACAGGTGCGCACCAGTGACCTAACGAGCCCCGATGCGGGGGAGACGATCCCAGTTAGGAGATGCTGGTTGGTGGGGCACTGGGTTCGTCCTGCTGTTGAGTGTGGGAGGGCTTAGGGCTACAGGTGCGCACCAGTGACCTAACGAGCCCCGATGCGGGGGAGACGATCCCAGTTAGGAGATGCTGGTTGGTGGGGCACTGGGTTCGTCCTGCTGTTGAGTGTGGGAGGGCTTAGGGCTACAGGTGCGCACCAGTGACCTAACGAGCCCCGATGCGGGGGAGACGATCCCAGTTAGGAGATGCTGGTTGGTGGGGCACTGGGTTCGTCCTGCTGTTGAGTGTGGGAGGGCTTAGGGCTACAGGTGCGCACCAGTGACCTAACGAGCCCCGATGCGGGGGAGACGATCCCAGTTAGGAGATGCTGGTTGGTGGGGCACTGGGTTCGTCCTGCTGTTGAGTGTGGGAGGGCTTAGGGCTACAGGTGCGCACCAGTGACCTAACGAGCCCCGATGCGGGGGAGACGATCCCAGTTAGGAGATGCTGGTTGGTGGGGCACTGGGTTCGTCCTGCTGTTGAGTGTGGGAGGGCTTAGGGCTACAGGTGCGCACCAGTGACCTAACGAGCCCCGATGCGGGGGAGACGATCCCAGTTAGGAGATGCTGGTTGGTGGGGCACTGGGTTCGTCCTGCTGTTGAGTGTGGGAGGGCTTAGGGCTACAGGTGCGCACCAGTGACCTAACGAGCCCCGATGCGGGGGAGACGATCCCAGTTAGGAGATGCTGGTTGGTGGGGCACTGGGTTCGTCCTGCTGTTGAGTGTGGGAGGGCTTAGGGCTACAGGTGCGCACCAGTGACCTAACGAGCCCCGATGCGGGGGAGACGATCCCAGTTAGGAGATGCTGGTTGGTGGGGCACTGGGTTCGTCCTGCTGTTGAGTGTGGGAGGGCTTAGGGCTACAGGTGCGCACCAGTGACCTAACGAGCCCCGATGCGGGGGAGACGATCCCAGTTAGGAGATGCTGGTTGGTGGGGCACTGGGTTCGTCCTGCTGTTGAGTGTGGGAGGGCTTAGGGCTACAGGTGCGCACCAGTGACCTAACGAGCCCCGATGCGGGGGAGACGATCCCAGTTAGGAGATGCTGGTTGGTGGGGCACTGGGTTCGTCCTGCTGTTGAGTGTGGGAGGGCTTAGGGCTACAGGTGCGCACCAGTGACCTAACGAGCCCCGATGCGGGGGAGACGATCCCAGTTAGGAGATGCTGGTTGGTGGGGCACTGGGTTCGTCCTGCTGTTGAGTGTGGGAGGGCTTAGGGCTACAGGTGCGCACCAGTGACCTAACGAGCCCCGATGCGGGGGAGACGATCCCAGTTAGGAGATGCTGGTTGGTGGGGCACTGGGTTCGTCCTGCTGTTGAGTGTGGGAGGGCTTAGGGCTACAGGTGCGCACCAGTGACCTAACGAGCCCCGATGCGGGGGAGACGATCCCAGTTAGGAGATGCTGGTTGGTGGGGCACTGGGTTCGTCCTGCTGTTGAGTGTGGGAGGGCTTAGGGCTACAGGTGCGCACCAGTGACCTAACGAGCCCCGATGCGGGGGAGACGATCCCAGTTAGGAGATGCTGGTTGGTGGGGCACTGGGTTCGTCCTGCTGTTGAGTGTGGGAGGGCTTAGGGCTACAGGTGCGCACCAGTGACCTAACGAGCCCCGATGCGGGGGAGACGATCCCAGTTAGGAGATGCTGGTTGGTGGGGCACTGGGTTCGTCCTGCTGTTGAGTGTGGGAGGGCTTAGGGCTACAGGTGCGCACCAGTGACCTAACGAGCCCCGATGCGGGGGAGACGATCCCAGTTAGGAGATGCTGGTTGGTGGGGCACTGGGTTCGTCCTGCTGTTGAGTGTGGGAGGGCTTAGGGCTACAGGTGCGCACCAGTGACCTAACGAGCCCCGATGCGGGGGAGACGATCCCAGTTAGGAGATGCTGGTTGGTGGGGCACTGGGTTCGTCCTGCTGTTGAGTGTGGGAGGGCTTAGGGCTACAGGTGCGCACCAGTGACCTAACGAGCCCCGATGCGGGGGAGACGATCCCAGTTAGGAGATGCTGGTTGGTGGGGCACTGGGTTCGTCCTGCTGTTGAGTGTGGGAGGGCTTAGGGCTACAGGTGCGCACCAGTGACCTAACGAGCCCCGATGCGGGGGAGACGATCCCAGTTAGGAGATGCTGGTTGGTGGGGCACTGGGTTCGTCCTGCTGTTGAGTGTGGGAGGGCTTAGGGCTACAGGTGCGCACCAGTGACCTAACGAGCCCCGATGCGGGGGAGACGATCCCAGTTAGGAGATGCTGGTTGGTGGGGCACTGGGTTCGTCCTGCTGTTGAGTGTGGGAGGGCTTAGGGCTACAGGTGCGCACCAGTGACCTAACGAGCCCCGATGCGGGGGAGACGATCCCAGTTAGGAGATGCTGGTTGGTGGGGCACTGAGATCGTAATGCAGTCGGTAGCGCGCTGGGCCAACAGGCGCTCAACAGCGCGCTGGGCCAACAGGCGCTCAACAGCGCGCTGGGCCAACAGGCGCTCAACAGCGCGCTGGGCCAACAGGCGCTCAACAGCGCGCTGGGCCAACAGGCGCTCAACAGCGCGCTGGGCCAACAGGCGCTCAACAGCGCTCTGGGCCAACAGGCGCTCAACAGCGCGCTGGGCCAACAGGCGCTCAACAGCGCGCTGGGCCAACAGGCGCTCAACAGCGCGCTGGGCCAACAGGCGCTCAACAACGCGCTGGGCCAACGGGCGCTCAACAGCGCTCAAAAACATCCTCTGTGCTGTTGAGCGCGGGAGGGATACAGATGCGCCCTGGGGGGGAATGGGTGCGCTAGCCCACCACACAAGCATTCTCTCTTAACCCGACTCGGTAGCGCGCGGGGCCAACAGGATGCAGTGCTCAACAACATTTTTGAGGCGCCTCAAAAATAGACTCAACAATATCTATGTTGTTGACATGGAGAAGACGAGAGACGCTGTGCGAGCTATGCGAGCATGGCCTTCCTGTAGGGGGGTCCACCTCTCTGAGAGACTTTTGAAAATTCTCAGAAATCTCTCACGAGAAGAGAGACACTATGCGAGCATGGCCTTCTTGTAAGGGGGTCCATCTCTCGGTACTGACCTTCTCTCCCCACACTCTGGTCGTCCCCCCTGCCAGCTTGAAGCGCGTCCAGTTGGGATTGGCGGCGTTGAGCGCGCACTTGATCGACGTGGATAGGTCCTTGGACACGCTGTCGCCGAACACCACTACGGTCTTGTTGCGGAAAAGGTTGAGTAGTCGCTGCGGGGTTAGCTGCACCACCTTACATCCCCACGGCTGGAGAAAGAAAATGGGCAGAAGGGAGAGGGGAGGAGAAAGGGTGGTGAGGGGAGAGGTCCTCGGATACGCTGTCGCCCAACACCGCCACGGTCTTGTTGCGGAAGAGGTTAAGTAGTCGCTGTGGGGTTAATGGGACAACCTTGCAACCCCACGGCTGGTGAGAGGCAGAGGGACAGGAGAGAGGGGGGGTGGGGTGGGGTAGGTTGGGATGGGGGGAGAGGAGAGGAGGAGGGGGGAGGACAAAAGAGGGGAGTGTCCTTAGGAGGGTGGATAGGGGAGAGTGGGGAAGGTGGGGCAGGGAGGATGGAAAGGTGGAGAGGTCCCTCGTTTTGAGGCGCCTCAAAACTGGATAGGGGGGAGTGGGGAAGGTGGGGCAGGGAGGATGGAAAGGTGGAGAGGTCCTTCGACACGCTGTCGCCGCACTCCACCGCTGTCTTTGTTGCGGAAAATATTCAGCAACCTCTGCGGTGTTAGCTGCACGACTTTGCACCCCCACGGCTGGTCACCAGGGGGAGTGTGGAGGGGAGAAGAGGGGAGAAGAGGAGGGGTGAAGGGACATGCTGTCACACAACGCAACCACCGTCTTGTTGCGAAATAGATTCAGCAGCCTCTGCGGTGTTAACTGCACGACTTTGCCCCCCCACCGCTGGTGATGGGCAGAGGGGGGAGCGTTGGGGGAGGTTGGAAGAGAGGAAGGTGGAGAGATCGTGTTTTGAGGCGCCTCAAAAATAGAATCCTCACGCAGGGGGGAGTGTTGGGGGAGGGTTAAAGAGAGGAAGGTGGAGAGATTGTTAGACACACTGTCGCCGCCGCGGAAGAGGTTAAGTCGCCGCGGAATGACCGTCTTGTGGCGGAAGAGGTTAAGTAGCCGCCGCGGGGTTAGCTGCACCCCCACAGCTGGTGAGGGGCAGAAGGGGAAATGGAGTGAAGGGGGACGGGAGTGAGGGGGAACAAGAGTGAAGGGGAACGGGAGTGGGGAAGGAGATGTCCAAAAGGGGATATGCCAATAACGGGTACATGGTGCTAGAAACGCGTATGGCTTACCCGCCATCTCAGCTTCTGGTAGCTCATATCGGAGCGCCCCGCCCGCTGGCAGTTGTGGCCGGAGCGGATGTAGGGGCACGTCAGCCCGGTGTAGAGCGGAAGGTTCGTGGAAAGCGACCAGGCGCCGGAGGAAATGTCGCACGTCCAGGGCTCGGGGGGGTCTGGATTGGTGACGTCTGGATGGGGTGTGGGGGACGGAAAGGGAGGGGGCGGCAAGGAGGTGCCATGGCTTTTGATCAACTCGAAAGAAATAGCACACGTCCAGGGCTCGGCGGGATCTGGATGGGGGGAGAGGGACGGTAAGGAGGTGCAATGGTTGTTGATTCGACCCAACGGAAATGCGGCACGTCCAGGGCTTCGGAGGTTCTGGATCGGTGACGTGTGGTTGGGGTAGTAAGTGGGACGGTAGGGAGGTGCAATGGTTTCTCAGTCGACCCAAAAAATGCGGCAGGTCCAGGGCTGGGCTGGTAACGTCTGGAAGGGGGTAGGGGGACGGTAAGGACGTGCGGTGCAATAGCTCACTGGGGAATGGAAAGGGTGTTACTAGTGAGAATTACTTGGAACGAGGCTTATTTTGTCGCGCTTTATACTATTTACTGGGAAGGGGCTTACTGGGGAAGGGGCTTACTGGGGAAAGGGATTACTGGGGAAGGGACTTACTAGGGAAAGGGATGGGCGCCATTCTATGCTTGAATCGACCATACGCCAAGGCGACAGGCGGACTCTTCTCAACGAAGGCGACGAACAGTAGCACAGAGAGCGATAGGGTTACCAGATTTCGCCGATTACCCGCCATCTCCGTCTCCGTAATAAGCAATAGCAGATTCTAACAATATTGGTGAGAGGAAAGTGTGCTGTTCGACGGAGGCAAAATTGCCCCAAGGCAATTGTCGAAAGTAACTACCCTGGCAGAAGTCAGCGATGGCGCTTCGATGAATCCCTAGGCGCGCGTGTCTCTCTATGGAGATGCCTAAAATACAGTCAGATGATTCTGGTGGTGATTTTTTAGTCGACTCAAAGATGTCTAAAATACAGTCAGGTGATTCTGTTGAGGGAAGCAGATTCTCTCGAGGGGTTAGCAGCACAGCGCACGCGAGCTGGCTGGTTGACTATCAGAGATAAGATTTAATGGCAGAGAGGCCGACAACTAGCGGGACGAGCGTCGTTGAGCTTGCTGTGAAGTGAAGTGGTTCGGATCGGAGTAAGCGGGTCAGCAGGGGGCAAAAGAGCTACTATCGTTCTTGACTGAGAGGGGCATTCCTTCGCTAGCGTGCGAGCAATCTTGGCTGGCTTCTTTTGGCCTGTTCTGGATTGTATGTAACCTGTAACCCTGGGTGGGTGGGTGGTCCGCTGCGCGCTCGCCCGCACGAGAGAGATGAGAGAGCCTTTGACCCTAGTGAATAGTCCCTTCGTCCTTCCCTCCTTTCCTCCTCGGTTTAAGGAAGGATCTGCTGAATCGAAGCTAAGCAACCGACGCGTAAGGAAAGCGAGACTCTGCTGCTAAGCAGTGGGCAGTGGGGTGGCACCGCCGACATTCGCGAATGTGACACGGGGGACCGATGAGAAACGCACTGTGTGCGTCCGCCCGTGCTCGAGTCGACTGCTGGCGTTGAAGAGATTTCGAGGAAAAATCTGAAAAGGTAAGTCGGGGGTGCAGGCGAGCGGCCCGCGGGCGAGCCTGCCGCGGCTCGAATGTATGAAAGGTTCTCATCTCATCTCAAGCCACTCGCTCTCAAGTCACAGGGAGTGAACCGCAGGGGCGAATAATCTCGGTTGGCCTGGATGGGGGGCGCTAATTTCTTGACTTCGCCTCTTGTGCTCGCTCAATCAGATTTCGAGTTTGTTGGTTGGCATTTCGTAGGTTTGGGCAGGTGGTGATGACATTTAGGCGGTTCAAAAGCGGAAGCGTGACATTGAGGCTGGGGTGATTAGAATGAAGGTTGGTAGCGAGGTGTTTTGACCGATCTGAGCCGTCCAACCATCGAGCCACGTAATGAATTCGGATGATGAAAAGACGGTTCGACACACAAACGGGGACGTTTTGCCAATGGAGAGCGGTCGAGGGCTCACGCTTCGATATAAAAACAGGATATGCGACTCGCTGTTGCAAGGAGGCAACGCTGTGGCGGGCACTTGCACGTGGTTCAACAGAGGACAATTCTGCCTCGTAAGGCTTTTATTTATATAATCAAATACTAGGCATTCTTCATTTAGAGAAAACTATGATGCCTAGCTTCACGTTACATGATGCACACAATCGAACAGCTAACTAAACCCCTAAAATAAAAGGTTGTTGAAAAGCATTTCAAGCCAAGCATCTGTGACACCACCTTCACACCAATGGAGACAATCATTTCTCTTGCCAGGTGGAGCCCCCCCTGCAATATGGAAGCAACAAAAACATATTGCAGATCAAGTGAATAAGCAAATCGCGGAAAAAGAACAAGCATGATATGCCTTTCATGTACCGTATCATCTTCTCACCTTTCTGCATCCATTTTTGGACATGCCCATCGGGCCGATAGTTGCTCATAGGGGCAACATCAACGTAGCGAATCGGAGACCCTGAGAGAACCCTCTTCTGGATCTCCCTGAACTTATTGCCGGTGATGTCACCCTTCGCAAATTCCTGTGCCTGCATGTGGTGCAAGATGGAGGCAAGCAGAAGACACTCAACTCATGGGCCCAAATCATAATTGGTGCTGCCATAGAAGCTCATGATCATCCTGACTTGTTTTGACACCCAAACCCAACCCCTGTCACTCATTGCCTGTTAGGCTGTGTTGTAAGATTTTTGCTGGTCTCACATAATCCCTTCTTCAGTCTGGGGGGTTCTTGTATTGGAACGGAGACACTTTTTTTAGGCGCCTCAAAAATAGACTCCTTCAGTCTGGCGGGTTCTTGTATTGGAACGGAGACACGCCCAACATGCACTACCAGCATCCACCGCCCTGAGTAAATCCTTACCTGCGCTGCTGTGAGAATCTTGCTGGTCTCGCACGACCCCTCTTTGAGTCCGGGGACCTTGTAGTGGGACGGAGACACGCCCAGCAAGGCGGCGCGGCCCTTAAAGCCCGACTTGGCCACGTAGTCCCGCAGCGTCTTCAGCCCAATCTCATAGGCCGCCTCCTTGGATAACGACTGCTCCTTGCCGCCCACATACCACTTGTTGATAGCGGGGAACCACCAGTTGGTGGCCTGAGGTAAGTGGCGGGAGAAATGGGAGACAATTGGTAAGACGAGAGCATATCTTGTGGCCCGAGGAACCATTTGCCACATACCACATGTGTGTCTCGTGGCCCAGATACCCCTTGTTGATAGCGGGGAACCACCAGTTGGTGGCCTGAGGAGGGAGAGGGGGGGGGGGGATAGAAGACAACTGGTTAGAAAAGAGCGAGTCTTTTGGGTCAACTCCTTGGATAATGACTGCTTCTTGCTGCCTAGATACCACTTGTTGATGGAGGGGAACCACCAATTGGTGGCCTGTGGAGGGGGGGAAAGGAAGAGATACGGAGGCTTAGACCCTGTATGAGTCGGGGCGACTCATGGATAGCACCTGCTCTCTGCTGCCCAGGCACCACTTGTTGATGGAGGGGGGGAAACCCCAGTCAGTGGCCTGTGGAGGGGGGGAGGGGCAATATCCATAATATGGTACAGTGCTGAGGCATCATGAGGCGCAGCAGACTTCAATACCCAAACTTCACCTGGAAAACGACAATGTCGGCCAGTGGCAGGAGATCGGTGATCTGCGGGTCGATCTTATCCAGGTCAACGCGGTTCATGCTGCCGCCCAGCCCGCTCGCCTGGTTGAGCCAGTTGGAAAACACTGAGGCGAAGCGAGCGTTGAAACGAGGAACCTGTAATGTGTTACCAGGAAGAGGGAGAGCGAGAAGGGGAGAAGGGGGGGGGGGGGCGGGGAGGGAGGGGGAGAGGGGGAGAGGGGGGGGAGGAGAAAGATGGAGACGAGGGGAATGGGCAAGAGAATGCGAACTTATCCAGGTCAACGGGGTTCCATGATGTTGGAGAAGACTCGGACAGAAACGAACGTTGAGACAGAGGAACCTGTATTGTGTTATCAGCGGAGGAAGGGGAACAAAAAAAAAAGAGAGAGAGAACGAAGAAAATGAAGAGAACGAAGCCTTACTTGCGCGTTCTTCTCATCTGCAGAGACCCGGCTCGTTTCATCTCACCAGTTGCCCGTTTCATCTCACCTTGACGCCGTACGCCTTGGTGTTACCGCTGGCCAAGCGGAAGTCTTGGATGGAGCTGGGCTCCTTGGTCTTAGGGACTCGATCCCTCACACCTCCCAAACATCAAGCTTGCTGCTCAGCCTAACCCCGCCACATCCCTCTCACCTTGACGCCGTACGCCTTGGTGTTGCCGCTGGCCACGCGGAAGTCCTGGATGGAGCTGGGCGACGCGGCGTGCAGCACGCACGCGACGGACCCGGCGAAGTTCTTCGAAACGCTGTCGCCGAACACCAGCACCAGCTTGTTGCGAAGGCGAGTCAAGAGTCGCTTGGGTGTCATTCGCTGCACCGTGCAGCCTGAGGGCTGGGTGAAAACGAGAGGGCACAAAGGTCGAAGTTTCTTAGAGACGCTGCCGCCGAACACCAGCACCAGCTTGTTGCGCAGGCGAGTCAACAGTCGCTTCGGTGTCATTCGCTGCACCGTGCAGCCTGAGGGCTGTGGGGGGCCAAGGGAGACGGCATGCGGTCACAAAGGGGATGTTCTTACAGACGCTGTCGCCGAACACGGGGACGAGCTTGTAGCGTGGGCGCGTGAGCACGCGCTTGGGTGTCATTCGCTGCACCGTGCAGCCTGAGGGCTGGGGGGGTTGGAGGGAGAGGGAGCAGGTTGGGGGAGCACGAAGGGCGAAGTTCTTGGAGACGCTGTCGCCGAACACGAGCACGAGCACGAGCACGAGCACGAGCACGAGCTTGCTGCGTAGGCGAGTCAAGTCAAGAGTCGCTTCGGTGTCATTCGCTGCACCGTGCACCCGGACGGCTGCGCAGAGGGGAGGGGAGGTGCATGCGATGCGATGCGATGCGATGCGATGCGAGCACAAATGGGGATGAGCATGAGGTGAAGAGAGAGCATGAGTTGAATGAGATAATACCCCAAAAGAGGATCGATAGTAGCGCGTACATACCACCCATTTGTATTTCTGAAATTGGAGGTCGGGGCGCCCCTGGTTCTGGCAGTTCTGGCTGGAGCGGATGTACGGACACTTCAGTCCGGTGTAGAGCGGTAGATGGCGATTGGCGGAAATCCACCATCCCTTGGAAATATCGCAATTCCACGATCCAGCGGCGACACGTGTCCCATCTGCATTGGTGGAGGATATGACCCGGGAGGAACAAGGCCAAACCGTCGTCGCAGGGACGCGCAGGGGAAGGTTGAGTAACGGAAGTTGAGTGGGGACGGTGTGGCGCTACGGGAGACGGCAACGGCAACTGTAACGGAAAACGGACACGGAGCTTAATCAGTGACGTAAATCTACTACGCAACGGTTTGACCTAAGGCTTTACGTACTTTGCGCTCTGGCGGTGATTGGGAGGTTCGCGACTCCTGCTAAGAGGCCTATGATGGTGAGGAGCAGCAGCTGACGTGGTTGAGGCATCGTACGGACGCCGCAGATTGTCTGGGAGTTGCGGCAAACGCACGGCAAATCTGGACTCTACCTTCTGTTGTTAGGACTGCAGCAGGCTTTAGTGCTACAAATGAAACCTCTTCCTTTTTTTTTCCTAGCTGTGCTAAAATTCCGTGAGGCTGCTGGCTGGTCTAGTAGCCGTGACAAACAACCCAGCAAGACCGAAGAGTTACGAGTGCGGTGGAGTGATGAATGGGGAGGGATGGAAAATGCACCGACTTGCAGGGTTTGTGGGGCTGGGCTGGAACATGACTGGCGCTCGTCAAATGCAGGCCTTGCGGCTCGTCCAAAATTCACATGTTCGGTTCCAGGTGTAATTAATGAATGACGCATGATATTTGAGGGCTTGAAATAACACAGCACTGGGAACACTGTGAGCCCCACGAGTATTAGCCGGAGGGTTTCTTCTCGTAAGCGTCAAAGATCCTTGATTTTGAGATGTGTGAGCACCTCGATGTGAGCTAGTCATTGTTTCTTTTGGGTATTTTTCGACCGCCGACATTTCACATTTTAGCCCACAATCCGAACGAGTCGCGGAGGCAAAAAAAATCGACCAGGCGCACTAGACGGTAATGACGGCGTCGCGTCAAGTGCGGGACTTCTGTGCCAGGTCCTCGCACGTTCTGAATCTTGTTAACGAGGATACTTTGGTCTGTTGTAGGAGCTGCTTATATAAAACAAATTGGTGGGCATTTGCCACCTCAGGTAAGCAAAGTGTTGTAGAGCATCTCAAGCCAAGCGTCTGTAACTCCACCTTCGCACCAATGCAGGCAATCATCCTTTTCATTTGGAGGGGCTCCTCCTGAATACCACCAAAAACAATCAAGAGCCGCACGCAATAGGACAAGGCCGCATTAGCATACTTGCGCGCCACATATACTAGTGGCGCAGGCAATCTCACCTGGGGTAGTCCATCTTGCCACGTGTCCATCAGGTCGCCAGGAGCTCATGGGAAGAACATCCACGTAACGAATCGGGCTATCAGAAAGCACCTTTATTTGAACCTCTCGGAACGCCTCTGCTACCTTCTGGATCCTCATGACCTTCTTCGTCTGGCGAAAAGGGGACATTAGGCAGACAGATGGATGGGAAGGGGATGAAAAGGTGAGAGGAGAGACTAGAGCGGTTTGGAGATGATAGTGTCTTTTAACCAACACCTAACGGACTTGTCATGCTTCAAGCTTCACACTGGAAGCTAAGTGGTTGGGATCTGGAAATCTCGTGCAGGTAAGTAATACATTGTGTAATATCCTCGCGCTAAAAGCAAATACCTGGTTCCAGTCCAGCTTCTGATTGGTCGAACACGAACCCTTGGCCAGACCAGGGACTCGGTAGTGCGAGGGTGACACACCCATAACCACAGCTTTACCAGCGAAGTTGGAGCTGGTTACAAAGTTACGGAGAGTGGTGAGGCCGATGGCGTAGGCATCTGCATTGCTGCTCGTGACCAGCTCCTGTCCGCTCTGATACCACCGATTCTCCTTCCAGAACCACCAGTTGGTGGCCTGGGATGGGAGAGGGAAGAGGAGAGGGAGGGAGTGAGCTGGCAAGGATGATTGACACCAATTTCCGTCCGCACTGGTATGACCAATCGCCTTCCAGAACAACCAGTTGGTGGCCTGGGGAGGGGAGAGAGGGAGTGCGCGTGCATGAATGAGCGGGGGTGGAATCACCGTGCGCAGCGATAGCACGACGTGGAAACGGGAATGACGGAGATAGGCTGGGGTAAAGATGGGAAATGAGGCTGGAGGGAAGTGGGGGGAGTCTATTTTTGAGGCGCCTCAAAAAAGGGAAGTGGGGGGAGCGGGTTGGATGTGGTAAACTGAGGAGAAGAAAGGGGGACTGAGGGGGGTGAGGGGAGTGAGGTGGAAGTGTGCACACCTGGAAAACGACAATGTCAGCAAGTGGCAGCAGATCGACCACCTGCTGGTCGATCTTATCGAGATCGATCCGGTACTGTAGCTTCCTGGTGGGCATCTGCCGCCCGGCCAGCAGCCACTTGGAGAAGACAGAGGCGAATCTGATTCCATGGGAGGGGAGCTGTATGCCCTCTGCTGCGCTGCTGCCTCTTCGGATTGTGAATGGCTGCACAGCAAAGGCGCTGGTGGTAACAGCAGCAGTGCCAGTGCCAGTGCCAGCAGTAGAACCTGCGCCAGAAGCAGCAGCACTCTCAGCAGCAGCGCTGTCAGCAGCAGCAGAAGGATCAGAAGCAGCAGCATGCAGAACGCAAGCAATGGAAGCAGCGAGGTTCTTGGACACACTGTCGCCCAGCACGAGCACGAGCTTGTTCCTGAGCGCGCGCAGCAGGCGCAGCGGGGTGAGGCGGCTGGTCGTGCAGGTGAAGGGCTGGGCGGAGTGGAGGGGAGGGGAGATGAGAGGAGAGGAGAGGGGAGGAGAGGAGAGCGGAGGAGAGGAGAGGAGAGGAGAGGTGAGGAGAGGAGAGGGGAGGAGAGGAGAGGAGAGGGGAGGAGAGGAGAGGAGAGGAGAGGAGAGGGGAGGAGAGGAGAGGAGAGCGGAGGAGAGGGAGGCAAGTGAACAGCGGAAAGACAAGTTTGAAGGAGGAATCGGCTAGGTTCTTGTCGCCCAACACAAGCACGAGCTTGTTCCTGAGCGCGCGCAGCAGGCGCAGGGGGTCAGACGGCTGGTCCTGCAGGTGAAGGGCTGGGAGGACGGGGGAAGTGGTGAATGCAGCACACATGTGAAGGCGGAAGGTGATTTTTGAGTCGACTCAAAAATCTCCTGCAGATGAAGGGCTGGGAGGACGGGGGAAGTGGTGAATGCAGCACACATGTGAGGGCGGAAGCAGCTAGGCTCTTTGGCCCGCTATCTCCGAAGGCAAGGACGACCTGGTTGCTGAGGGCGTGCAGCAGGCGCAGCGGGGTGAGGCGGCTGATCGTGCAGGTGAAGGGCTGGGTGGAGTGGAGGGAAGGGGGGGAGACAAGAGGAGTCGGCTTTTGAGGCGAGTCAAAAGCACTGTGCAGAAGGGCTGGGAGTAGGGGAGACGAGAGGAGATTATCCACCCAAAATGATACCGAACCCCAACGACTGAAGATAGTATAGAAGTAGTATGGCTTTGACACTCTGTTTCAAGAATGAAGACAAGCAAACACAGAGCAGGGTCCTCGTTATATAACGCAAACGTACGTACTACCCATGGCCATTTTTGGTAGGAGAGGTCCGTCCGGGCCTGCTTCTGGCGGTTCTGGCTGGAGCGGATGTACGGACATGTGAGGCCGGTGTAGAGAGTAAGACAGGGGAGAGGACCCTGGTTATAGCGCGTACGTACCACCCATCGGTATTTTTGGTAGGAGAGGTCCGTCCGGCCCTGCTTCTGGCAGTTCTGGCTGGAGCGGATGTACGGACACGTGAGGCCGGTGTAATAGGGAGTGCGCCACGCGCGCTGCCACATGCCCGCAGCTATGTTGCAGGTGCTGTTGGCGGCAGGGATGTGGGTGGTGTCTGGAAGGGGAGGAGGGGAAAGGGGAGAGAGAGAGTCACATTGCATAGAGTGGGTGTCACTTGCCCGCAGCTATGGTGCAGGTGCTCTTGGCGGCAGAGATGTGAGTGGCGTGTGGAAGGGGAGGAGGAGAGGAGGGGGAGAGGGGGGAATGTAAAAGAAAGCGCTTCCATGGGTTTTCGTTTCCTCCCAGGTTCATGGTAGCGCATGGTTGCTCCTGACGTGAAAGCTCATAGCGCATGGTTGCTCGTGACGTGAAAACTCATAGCGCATGGTTGCTCGTGACGTGAAAACTCATAGCGCATGGTTGCCCTTTTTGCATCGTTGAAATCTGAGACGGGTGAGCGCCTGACATCGCACGTGGCAGCGGTAGCGGCGGCAGCAGTTACGGCCGTGACACTGACCGACATTGACCGACATTGACCGACATTGACCAACACTGACCGACACTGACAGACGTTGACCGAGACTGACCGCCGGGACGGTGTGTTGGTGGGGCACTGGGATCGTCCTACAGTTGAGTGTGGGAGGGCTACAGGTCCGTCCTGGGGGGTAGCCCTCACACACTGCGGTGTGGTGGGTAGGGCAGGTCCGTCCTGGGGGGTAATGGGTGTGTTACCCACCACAACAACATGCCCTTTCAACCCAGTCGGTAGCGGGCTGGGCCAACACGGTGGCTACTCGGTTTCGCTACGTGCGACTCGGCTCGGCTCCTAGCTAAAAGGCTAGCTTACGAGTTGATTTGGCTTTTGAGAATTCTCAACACTAGTTAAAAGGTCATCTTACGCAGTCGAGAGTGCGCGACCACCGAAGGGCCGGGAAGAGGAAACAGGAGCGCAGCGAGAATAAGGCAGCATGGAAGGCAGAGGGGGTGAAACGGACGAAGAGTTCGTTCCGATGGCGCCATGTTGGAAAGCCTAGGAGCGAATGATTAAAGGCAAGATCGGGTCGGGCCGGGTCGGGCCGGGTCGGATCGGGTTGGATCGGGTCGGGTCGCCCTGCAGCCTGTGCTCTCCAAATCGCTAGAACCGCCACGGTTCTAAAACGGTTTTACTAGTCCCCCCGGGTGCCCCCGTAGGTGTTTTAGACCGCCACATTAGAGTCCTCGTTTCCTGCCGCTAAAAGCCGCTTCATAACCGGCGCGGCTCCTCGCAGACTTGTCGCACTGTAGTACTCTACCCCAGGCCTGATATATCTCGTCGTTAGTCACTCCGAACTGAACCAATGCCTAGCTCCTCGCAGACTTGCCCTTCCTACTCTTCCCCAGGCCGCTAGTCGTTATATCTCTACTATATCTCGTCGCTAGTCTCTCCGAACTGAACCGAAGGCGCAGGTTCCCTCGAATCTTCCGAGGGCAGAGTGATACAGCAGCTTCGCGCCCTGCTTACTCGGTTGGATGGGAGGGTAGCTCCTCCCCCGGCACATGGACCGAGCGGATTATGGGACGTAACGAACAAAAGCTTTCCTACCAGAGTCAGCCATGCAAGAGAGCACACAAGAGGAGAGCGAATGGGCACTGCAGAGAAGGTTGTCTCAGCAGGAAAGCTGTTCCAGCGGCGAAGGGGAAGGGATGCGAATGGTGTGGCATTTGGGTTGACATCGAATTGCGGCCAACCATTCACACCGAAGCGCGAATTGCTGGGTTGCGAGTCGTTTCCAGTGCGCAGCAGATTTGCAGATGGTTGGAGACGAACCAGGAAACGCGTGTAAAACTTCTATACAGTAATATGGCGGATCGATATAGATTTCTATTAATGCAAAAAGCCTTTTCCAATTGCAGCTTGAATAGAAGCCAGCTTGGCTTTCTCCACTTGTAGCACGTCGCTATTTGGAGGATATTGCGCGCTCAAAATCTGATACGCATTGTGAGGGATAAGGGAAGGATGGGAATGAAACGAGTGAAGGGAGTGGGGTACGGGTTATGAGGAAAAAATGTGAGGAAATTAGGGCAGGGAACGAGATTAGGGGATAATGTATGTGAGGATCAGATAATTAGCAACATCCGATTTGAAACATTCAAACATCCATTTTGGTTGAAAAATGCATGACATGTATAGCTGAAAGGAATACACACCTTCAAGGCAGATGTGCAGTGCTGAAGAGCTTGTTTGAAATTACCAAACCGGCAGAGGAGCAGCGCCATGACATCCTCCGCCTGTTGTGTGCCCTCCCCCCCCCCCCCCCCCCGCTCTCACTCACACACACATGCACAAACAGGCACACACACGTGCAGCTTTTAGTCAGACACACCTCCAGTCAGACTCTGCTGGCATCAAATAGAACCGCACTGAACCACGCGATTAACCAATGGCACCACGAGTTTTACTAGTGGCCTAGGTAGGAACATGCCCTAAGTGGAGAAGCAGGAGAAAGGGATGGCTAGTGAGAGAGGAAGGAAGCAGCTGGGGGCTGAGAGGGATGGAGGAGAGGAGGGAGGGAGGAAAAGGACAGTGAGATGTGAAGTGAGAATAGAATAAAGTCCAGGGTTGACTGGGTGCAAGTGACTTTTGAGTCGACTCAGAAGGGGTGGAGGGGAGGAGGGAGAGAGGAAGGGCTGAGAATTGTGAAGTGAGAACAGAACAAAGTCCAAGGTCGACTGGGTGCAAGTGCTGCCAGAGCGAGTCCTGCAAATGAGACACTGGGGACAGAGAGGATGCCGATGGTGTAGCGCAGCGTTTACTCTTAGCCTGATGTGTGCGAGAAATGAGGGAGAATATTAGCGTACCTCCGCCAAGGTGCGGTTGAGCGGGTGCAAGTGCTGCCGGAGGGAGACCAGAAGGCGAGATGCGCGAGACAGGGAGAAAGACCAAAGCACTGCTGCTGCAGAGCTGGATTCATCGCACCTCTGCCAAGGTGCGGTTGAGTGGGTGCAGTGCAGGTGCTGCCAGAGCGACCCCAGCAAGCAAGATGCACAAGACAGGGACAATGCCCGTGGAGTGGTGGAGCTCTCACTGTCTCTCAGCCTGATGTGAATGGGTGCTAAAGGAGGGTTACAACCTCACCTCTGCCAAGGTGCGGTTGAGCGGGTGCAAGTGCTGCCAGAGCGAGTCCAGCAAGCGAGATGCGCGAGACAGGGACGATGCCGATGGTGCAGTGGAGCTGTCGCTGTCTCTCAGCCTGATGTGGCATCAAGGAGGGGAGAGCACAAGCGTAGTGACACGCTAACAGGCATGGCATCCCTGGGAATGACTTTTGAGGCGCCTCAAAAGTGACACGCTGACGGGCATGGCATCCCTGGGAATGACTTTTGAGGCGCCTCAAAAGTGACACACTGACAGGCATGGCATCCTTGGGAAAGAGGTGTATTTAGGGTCAACTCAAAAGTCAGCTCGTAGTGACAGGCATGGTGTCCCAGGGAATGTCAGAGCAGCAGAGACCACAGCTGGCTCTCACTCATTTTCTATGTCATATTTCTGGAAACTTCCGGAAGCTTCCGGAATACTGAATATTCCAAGAACATCTCATCTGTGTCCTCACCTCAAGAGTTCCTCTTTAATTGCACCCACTATAGCATCCAGCTTCAAGCCCTTCTGTTCTTCGTCAACCCTGGTGGCCTCAGCGGACATTCCTTCACTTGACGTTCTCTTGCTCCTCCCACTCTTTCTCTCCTCCCTCCCCCCCTTATCGAATAGCCCATGCCCACACCGCACGCACTGCCACACAGCAGCAGTAGCAGCTGTAGCAGTCGCAGCAGCAGCTGTAGCAGTTGCAACG